TAGGAGCAGGTTGGGTATTCTACTGTTTTTAAGATTTAAATGTATTTTTTTTTTAGCTTCTATTCGTTTTAAATTATTTTTAATTAATAATTCTTATGAATATTTGAATTAATTTTTGTTTATTTTACTTAAAGGCAGTGTCTTAAAGTGGCTTTAATCCTCTAACTAATTTTAAAAAGTTTTTTAAACCAAATTGATGAATATTTCATTAAAAAAATAGTGAAATTATATATTTAATAATTTTATTTATTAAATTACAAATTATATTTTAACCAATTTATTTTATTTCCTCATCGTTATGCATACCTGTAGCTTGTAGATTATGTCATTTAGTTACTCGTTTTAGCGGCTTTCATAATTTAGAGCGAAGGGGGGGGACCCCTAAGGGGGTCTCTGTTTCGGCGCCCATGTGCGTGTGTGCCAATTTGTGGGTTTGGTTCCCGAATCGCGATCGCAGCAGTTAGAAAGCATGGCATTCCATTCCATTCCACAAGCCACCAAAACTGCATAACTCCCCCCCCCCCTCCTCTTATTTTATTTATTTTCCTATTTTTTATTAATTTATTCTTCTGTTTTTATTTTCTTGTTTGTTTTGTGCTCATTCATTCAGTCATTTTTGGGGCCATACTCTCGCTAATAGGCTTACACTCCCCCCGGACCGCAGCTCTTTCTCCAAACTGGTCCCCCGATGTTGGTCAAGTGGCGATTCCCGAGGACTTGGCTTCGTTTGCATACCCGACCCCCCTCCCCTCCAGAGACTGGCAGCTCCATGAGCGATCTTCATTATCGCCAGCGGATCGCGACTCGATCGGGTGCGCCAATTACCAATTTTGTGTCATCGCCTCCCAACCGGTCCCATCCACTCCCCTCCCCTCCCCACCCCACCTAACTCTCAAATATTTGACAGTCGCTTTAAATCCGCCTAGCCCAGTTTAGCTACAGTAGAACCCTCCTAAAGAGGACCATAAAATACGATTGGGGTTTGGATGAGAAGGGGATCTTCCTCTAAGATGGAGCCAGGGATGTGGACCTTCAAAGGTCTAAAGATAGTCCAGCACTTATCATACAAGATACTTAGCCCCTGTTCACCTTAGCCAAGCTCCCCTGTACTTGTCGAAACCTTCTTTTTTTGGAACCAGAACCAGAACTGAAATCAGCGCCTGATCGACTCCCCACGACTCGTCCAACCCGCTCAGTGGCTCCGGAATCGGTTAGTCTGGGCCCGTCCAGGTCTCCGATGGCCTGGCCTAGTCTTGGGGCTTGGTGGCTTGGTGGCTTCGGTGGGGTTCTAGTGGCAGCTCCGTTGCCTGATCCAATTTCCCAATCATGCAAAGTGGCTCTGGCTTCGATATCGGGTTTGGGTCTGGTGGTCTGGTGGTCTGGTGCCAGTTCGGGTATTTCCAATTTCCCAATTTCGCCAGTGTGCCAAATTAATTGGGGGAACGTGACTTCCAAAGCTCCTTTCTGGGCGAGGAGGGTGGGGGGGCCAGTGGGGGAGGTGGGAGGTAATTGGAATGCCCAAAGGCGACCCCAAAAGAGAAAGAATGCAGTTGTCTAGAAGTGCACTCTACTTTCGGGTCTCTGCTTGGAAAATGATGGAAAGAGCTGTGGAAAGTCTATGGAAAATGGTCTCAAGGGGGGGGTTCGATAGGGTTTTGGACCATAAACTGGGGAATTTGGAGTCCGATCGGATGTAAGGTGTTGATAGGGTTTTAATCTTGAAATAATTATTATTATTAATATAATAGGATAGAAATAGTCTACAAAAATAGACTAAGTTAATGATATACTTGTAGACTTATAGACTAGACTAACTTAATGGTATAATATATATACTAATGATATACTATAAAGGCAGCTACCTATAATGGTAGCCTTCGTCTATCTGAGTTGCTAGTTCTTAAGGGATGGTATAATCTTGTATTAATTATATCATAATATGATCAGGATGGTATAGGGCTCAGATAAGGTTCAGAAGTTCTAATCATTGAAATAATAACTGGAATATAATCGGGTTATAATGGTATAGGACCTAGATAAGGGTTAACACTTGGGTCTTAATTCATTCCTTGTCCAATAGTCTGTTGATAATATTATCAAAATAGGTTCAAGATGGTATAGGGCTAAGGTTGAGCCTCAGAACTAAGGTCTCTATCATCTTTTATTCTAATTATTGAATAATAATCATATTATAGATGGATTAAGAGGTAAAGAACCCTATAATAAGGTTCGAAACCTTAGAAAAGGTCCTAATGGCCAAGATGGTATAGGGAAGATATAAGCTTCGAAACTCAGGTCTCTACCAACTTTTATTATTATAGTCTTTCAATAATATTATTATCATAGATAGATGTTACCTTTCTGAACTGGACTTCCCTTTGGGCTTATACTTATGCTGGGCTTATGCTTATTATATACTTATATATTATATATTATTATTATAATATTATATATTTTAGGACCCATTTAGTCCTCCTTCCCTCCCAAAATATCCATCAAAGACGAATCCAATTAGAAACCAATTCATGACAAGGCCAATGACCTTGAGATGCCGGCCGGTGACCAAGTGGCATGTCGGGAATGACCTTAACCCGGCACCCGTGGTATGGGGCTTCCTTTGTTGTTGTTTTCCCTTCGAGATCATACAAGTACTAGATATATAGCTAGTATATATACCACCTATGTATCTGAGCAATGGGCTTTAGTTTTTTTTACTTTTGGCGACGCCTTCGATTTTCGCCCATTTGCGCAGCAGCTCGACACATTTTCAAGGCAAGTCACGAGCGCCACTTGCAAATTGAAGAAATCCGCCCAGAGTCGCCTCCCCTGGCCAAGTGCCCCCCCACCCCTCCGCCCCGTTCGAACCTCGTTAACCCCCTTATTATTATTTATTTCATTTTTTTGCTCTCTCTCCCTCTCTCTGCCTCTCACTCAGGTGTGCCAGCTGATTGATAATTGAGGGAGACTCGCCGCCTGGGAGAGTGGGAGAGTGCGAGAGAGCAGCATCCCAGGCCCCCGAAAGAGAGAGCCTGGGGAGCCACATACCGTTTGGCTATCACTAAATTATACAGTTGGCGATTGCCTCTTTTTTCGATGCACTCAGAGATATTTTGGGGGTGGTAGAGTAATTAAATTTAATAAAATATATATTCATTTAAATGTATGTTTTTTTTAAAGAAATTTGATAAGAACTTTATATTGAAATTTATATTAAATCTTAGTATATAGTTAAGTATAAATTTCTTATCAAAATTCCTTCTAATTCTGAGTGTAAATTTCTTGAAAAAATATTTATTTGATTAGAAATTTCTTATGAAATATTATAAATTATATGGAATTATATAGAACTTTTTGTTTAAAAATATTTAGTCATTATTTTTCATTATAAAGAGAGAGTTCAACTTTTTCTTCGAGTGTCTAACAAGAGTAGCAGCAAAGAAAGGCAAAGAGAGAGGTATTTGAAGAGGTAGAGGGCGAGGGAGAGGGAGAGCCAGGTGAGCAAGTGCCATTGGATGCTCAATTGCGGCTTGTGTTGTTGTAGTTGCTGGTGATATTGCTCGACCATAGTGTTGTTGTTGTTGTTGTTGTAGCTCCTGTTGCTTGTGACGTTGTTGTTGTTGCTGTTGTTGTTGTTGTTGGTGGGTTTGGTGATGTTGCTGGTTTGGCTTTGGCGCTTGCTAATGTGTTGCCATTGCCGTTGGCCGTTGTTGGTTGGACGTAGTTGGTCGGTTTGGTCGGTTTGGACGGTTTGGATGTTTGGATGTTAGCGGGTCGCGACAGCCTTCTCTCGGCCAGCAGAGCAGAGCTCTGCCGTTTGCCGTTTTGCGGATTTTCATAGTTCAGTGCGCTTTCCAGTCGACAACGCGACACCACCGCCAGCGACAGCGCCATGAGCTCTAGTATATAGGCTCTCCTCTCGCCCGAGCATCCCGTCTAAATATAATCATCTTTATTTGTGATTTATTTAATCAACATCCCAGCCAGCAGGCAGAGACACAGCATCATCGCACCACCCACCTCCCATCCGCAGAAGCAGAAGCAGAAGCGGGGGCGACCGACGACACCAGCCAGCCATCGATGGAAAAATAAAAAGGAAAATCAGCGGCAATTGCTCTTGAAAGCGAAAGAAAGTGCAACAAAGTGCGGTTATCGGCTATCGGTTATCGGCAAATTGATTAAATCAGTGCACTCGACGCCACAAAGTGCCCCCCCATAGCGGGGAGGGGAAGGAAGGGCCGGAAGCTGCACTCAAACGATAGGAAGGGAGGGTGTCTCTAACCTGCGACAGTTTTCCCATAAAAATTATCACACTACGGGCTGATGGCTTTTGAAACCAAACAGGAAAAGGCAATTAAAGACCTCCTTTGATGTTATCGGTTGTCATCAAAAGTTGCAAATCATCGGAAAGTAATCGAAATTCAAAGAAACCTACAAATATTGGGTTTTAAATAATAGAAATTGATGATACATATCTCTAATCAGTGAATTACAAGATTTGGATAAAGAAAGCACCTTAAATGCTATCGATAGTCATTTAAAATGGTGAAAATCATCGGAAAGTAATCGAAAAGTGGACCAAAACAACCAACTAATGTGTTTTTGTTGAAAATTGTTGAGGATATATCTCTGTAATTAGAGAATGTGAAGTATTTGCATCAAAAACCTCCTCAAATGTTATCGATAGTCATCGAAATTGTGAAAATAATCAAAAAGTAATCGAAAAGTGACCTAAAACCTCTAAAATTATTGATGATATCTATTTAGTCAATAGATCTAATGTTCTTTGGATCTAATAACCCCCTCAAATGTTATCGATAGTCATCGAAAGTGTGAAAATAATCAAAAAGTAATAGAAAAGGGGCCTAACACCTCCAAAATACTCAGTTTAAACTGAGAATTATTGATGATATCTATTTAGTCAATAGATCTAATGTTCTTTGGATCTAATAACCCCCTCAAATGTTATCGATAGTCATCGAAATGGTGCAAATCATCAAAATAACCTAGCCACCCCACAAAGCCCCCCTCGCATGTGTTGTAATTACAACTCGCCAAAGAAAACCAACAGAAACCCCGAATATTAATGACATATCGGTGGCTTTATCGGTGAATGCTATTGCGTTATGTTATCGGTGGCATTTGGTATTCAAGTTTGAAGAAACATCGGCTGATGAGTGTTATGCGTGTTTTGTTTTCGTTATTTTGTTGTTGTTTCGGTTTCTTCGGCAAGGTGGCTGTGTTATGCAATGCCGCAGTTTGACGAATCTTTCCTGAGCGACTGTGCGCTGGCCGAGCGCTGGGGCTTCTACTCCTATACCCTCAAGCCCCCCCCACCGCCGCTGCCGCCGCCGAGTTCCAAGCACGACCATCATGAGGAGGAGCATCATCACCACCATCGGCAGGTGAAGAAAAAACAGCGCCAATCATGGTCGCCCCGAGACGGCAACAACAACACCAGCAGCCACACTCCAAGCACCACCGGCAACACGTTGCACAGCATCAAGTTCCACAGACGTCGAAAATACAAAAAGCTGCCACGATTGGCGTCGCTATCAGCGCCACTGATACCCCAAGAGATGGACGTGGATGCCACTGACATCACCGCCATGGAGACGCCGCTCCCCAGCCCACCTGTGCCGCTCAAGAATGCGGTGTGCCGTAAGTGAAAGCTGCCCGCCCAAGGCACTTCGGAGGCCCCACCAGGCCCAGCCTAGCCAGCCCAGTGGACAGCCCCCTTTGGCTCGTTTTGCTATCCACTATCCACCATCCACTAGGCACTCCAGGTTCCACCTCAAAGCTAACAAGTCTAATAGTACAGACTATCTGATACCCCGTACTTGTCTTTGTTTTTCTATAAAAGTTTGGTGTTTTTAATATAAATCTTAAATCAACTATAAGAGTTTGAAGCTTTATATTATATCTATATCTATCAGTACTATATATACTCTACGACTTTACAAGTACTTGGTATTATCAAGAAGAAGAAAACTATAAAAAAATTAAAAATTGCAGAAAACAAATAGTTTTTTCGCTCCAACGAGTTCCACTTGCAATTGTTTTGTGGTTTGGAAATTGTTTTGAGGGCTATACCCCTTTAGGTTCAGAGATACAGTGCTATCGGAGATGTTTTTAGTTTTAAAATTAAGATATTAGTGCTTAAATAATAATTAATTGAGAAATAACTAAAAAGAAATGGTTAGAAAAGCACTCTCTCCTTGTAGGATGTTTTTCAGAAGGGTAGTAGTAATATTTAACAACAAAAACATGAATAGCTATATGGCTATAGCTATAATGAATATTTAACTAAATTATAAACAAAAATAATTTATTTAAATAATAGCGCCCTCCTCCTCGATTCTCATAGGTGGCACCTCAGCACCCTTTAAAAAGTAATAAAAAAAAATAAAAATAATTATTAAATATTAAATTAATAAATAATAAATAATAAATAAAAATAGCGCCCTCCTCCTCGATTCTCATAGGCACTTAAGAAACCCAAAAAAAAATAATATTAAAAAATAAATAAATAATAAAATAAATAAAATAAGTTTAAATAACTAGTTTAGGTACCTTCTTGGAGTACCTCTCTCCTCGCTTCTCATAGAAGTTGCTGAAGATACATTCCATGGTGTATAGCTACCTAAAATGGATGGATACCTTCCTTCTCATAGAAGGTTATCAGATTCTTAATATTAAAATATTAATAATATCTTAATATTAATCTTATAATACATTATAACCTTATTTCAAATATTACTATTTAGAATTCAAAGAGTATTGAAGCATAGGCCCTGAAATAGGCCTTCCCTCCCTCTTTCTTTCTAAATCCCCCTCATAATATTTAATATTAAATTGTATTTAAATATTTAAACTAAGAGATTGGCTTGGGAAATGCCAAGCATTCCCTCTTTCTGTAACATAGTGGCTCGATAATGGCTCTGCTTTGTTTTCCCAAGAATGCAACTTAGCTTCATGATTGCCACATTTTGTGATGCAACGCTTTTATGGCTTTGTGTTTATGGTTCCTACTGGCGCCTACTTGGTATTTGAATTCGAAAAGCGAGAGAATCAGAGGCGGAACTCATTGTGGCCAACACCCGCTTCTGGTCAACACCTGCTTCTGGCCTTATTCGCTCCAAGAATGTTGATTTTTGGCGATTTTTGGCAACTTGACTTGCGAATCGGGAATTTGACTTCCAAAATCGGCCATTTCGAGGGCTATTATTAGGAACTGAGTAATCATGCGGATCCCCTCTCTCTCCTTACAGACGGCAGCATCAGTTCTCCATCCACGCCCGGCACCTGCTCCAGCGGAGGCATCGGCGGCAGCGGCGGCGGCTGCAGCAGCAGCAGCAACAACAGCCTCAACAGCGGCAACAGCTACTCGGCCGCCGCGTCCACGACCTCCAGCACACCCCCGCCACCCACGCACCACAACACACCCGGAACCCCAGCCGGCGGAGGCGGCGGAGGAGGAGGCAGTAGAGGGGCCGGAGGAGTACCACCAGCACCGCCCAGTGCCGGGTCGTCGGGGCACAAGAACAGCCTCAAGGGCACGAAGCTGGCGAGGAGGGCGCGCTCCTTCAAGGACGACCTGATCGAGAAGATCTCCCTGATGCGGACCACCAACAACACCCTGGGCCGCTCCCACTCGCCCCACAGTCCCCGCTCGAAGCACGGCTGCAAGCCCCCGCCCAGCAACGAGGAGGTGCAGCGCTCCACCCAGACCCTCGAGACGCACGTCAAGGACATCTCCAACGCCCTTAAGCACTTCCGCGATGTCATCCTCAAGAAGAAGCTGGAGGTGCTGCCCGGCAACGGCACGGTTATCCTGGAGACCATTGCCAGCATGTACTCGGGTGAGTATCCCTGCCTTGCCTGTAGAGGACCCTGTACTGACCATCCCCCCCTTTCCAGTGATCCAAACCTACACCCTGAACGAGAACAGTGCCACCATGAGCTCGGCCACCCAGCAGGTCTACCAGAGCCTGGGCAAGCTCATCAAGCTCTGCGACGAGGTGATGCTCTCCGAGGAGAGCGGCGAGTGCGCCTCCCTCAGCAACGAGAACGTCCGCGAGGTGATCGATCTTCTCGAGGACGCCGTGCGGGTGAGTACTTGGCACAAGCTTCTCCCTCATAGAACCCCTAACCATCGCTCGGAATCCCTTCCAGAATCTAGTGACCTTGGCGCAGGGCAAGCTGAAGGAGCAGGACCAGTGCACCTTCCGGTACAGTGGCTCGGGCCTGGGCGGCATTGGAGCGGCGGCCGAGATCATGGGCGCCGTGACCGCCTCCCCGGGCATAGCAGTGGGCAGTGGCGGACCCGGCACGGGCATCGGCATCGGATCGGTGGCCAGCATGCGGGTCTCGGCCGCGGAGTCGGCTGCGGCGGCGCAACGTACCTCCCTGCCGGACATCGCGCTGACGCCCAAGGAGCGCGACATCCTGGAGCAGCACAACGTGAACCCGATGCGCGGCTCCCACAGCACCGAGAGCATCCTGCGCGACACCAGCCCCCCGCCCAAGCCGCCGCTGCCGAACCGGGCCAGCAACCCGCCGCCCCTGCCGCCGAAGCGTCGCAGCCAGCAGGGCGGAGCGGCGGTCGGCGGCCCTGGCCCGGGAGTGGGGGTGGGCTCCTCCTCGTCCACGACGTCCACCTCCAATCAGGCCAGCCCGCTGCCCTACGCCCAGTCGCACAACATCAGCCTCAACTCGGACCTGGACTGCAGCTCCAACATCTCGCTGCTGAACTACGGCGTGGATCAGTAAGCTCGAATCGAGAATGACCCCATCCAGAGACTAAAGTCCCCTACCTCCCTCTTCCTTGCAGCCTCTCGGTCCGGTCGCGGTCGCCGGACGAGAACAGCCAGTGCTCCTTCGACTCGGCGCTGAACCACTCGCGCGAGGAGGAGGACCAGCTGCGCCAAATGCCAAAGATGCCGCCGGCCCTCGACCTGGACGTGGACGTGGACGGACATGGCGGCGACAAGATACTGAGCTACAGTGAGTATTCCAGCCACAGCCATCGGCCCGCTGTTGCCTCGACTCAAGTGGTGGCCTCCGACCTTCCCACTCCCAAACCACGTTTAGAAGGCGAACTGGCCAGCCTACCGGTCGCGGTGGTGGCCGCTGCTGGAGGACAAGCACCCGGACATGGACTCGGGACGACAGAGGCTGCATCTGGTGGCGCTACGGTGACGGCTGGTGGCGGGGAAAGTAACACGGAGCTGCGCAAGGCGGCCGCGGCACTCACCATCAACCGCCATTCGAACGAATCGGGTACTGGCTATGACCTATTGTACTACCACTTCCGCTACTACCACTACTAGCTTCTACTAGCTCCTGCTTTCTGTAATATCCGCTTGCTTGGTTTTTCTTTGAGTGTTGTGTAGCCTTCGCTTCCTTAGTTTTGTTCCCTCAGTGTGTTCCCTCCTCCAGCCACCTCAATCCACTCTAATCGGATTCGTTCTCCTCCCTGTACAGGTTTCGTGTCCATGAAGTCGTTCCGCACCTCCACCCAGAGCGTGTCCAAGCGCTCCTCGGACTACAGCGTGCAGTCCTCCACCAAGTCCTCGAGCAGCAACTCGGAGATCGCCTTCAGCATCAGCGAGTCGGGGGCGACCAGCAGCTCCGCCGCACTTCCAGCACTGCTGGGGGACTTCCAGCAGCGCTGCACCACCACCACCAGCTCCACGAGCACCAGCACCAGCACCGGCTACAGCAGCAGCGAAGTGGAGCAGACGCTGTCCTCCTCGCTGGGCATATTGCGGGGATCCCCGCCAGAAGCGGCGCCGGCCCTGCCGCCCAAGACCGGGCCGCGGCTAACGCGACACGAGTCGGCCGGGGACGAGGCGGACGAGGGGGGCTGGGCGAGCCACCGGAGCAGCCAGTCGGAGCTGGCGGAGCTGCGGCACATGCAGCACCTCAACCACCAGGCCCAGCTGCAGCAGTGGCACTCGAAGCACCACAGCCTCATCGGCAGCAGCTGCTACGCGTTCGACAAGCGCAACCTCGAGGAGCCGCCCCCGCTGCCCATGAAGAAGAAGCACAGTAAGTCGGATTTCTCTCAGTGCACATTTACTTACATCGTCTCCTTTTTTCCTTCTTCTTTTTTTTTTCCATGTGAAAATGTTTACATTTTTATTTCCTGTGCATCCTTAATGTTGTGTCTTGGATCCATGATTGTTGTGATTTCTTTGGTTTTTTTTTCACCGCCAGAGCGGTAATGTTTTTTATTTTTTAGAAAAGCTATAGTGTATTATAATTAAGAACCGCATTTCACACAAACATCAGGGGACTTTTAGATTCTTTTGTGAATTTTAACTTCGATTTTGATCATTTTGGTAGAAAAACAGACACCATTCCATTGACACGAATCAGTCAAAACCACCGCATCCGCCAGTCAGGCTCCTCTTGAGCCCCTAGAGAGGGGAGAGGGGCGGGGAGAGGGTTTCTGTGTTTGTGTTTCTTAAAAAGACTTTATAGATTTTATTTATAGCACATACTCGCATTATCGCAAACCCTTTAGCAATTTATCAAACAAGAAGCAAGTCTGCCACATTGTTGTACGCAAGAGTCTAACCCATCTAAATTATCGTTCCAACCAACATCTAGTGTTTCAAAGTGTGGCCTTCTCGGGTAAGTCTTCCAGCGGACCAGCACCAACCATCCACGTAGACTACTTCCAAACACCATCGCGCTAAACCTTTCCAAACCCAAAGCCAGAAAACCAAAAGCTACAAAAACAGAAACTTTAAATGCTCTTTTTTGGATACTTTTCTAAGAAAGTTTAACAGTGGGAGGGATATTTTAGATGGAAAGGGTTTTAAGGAGGTAGTTCTCAGACCTAGTCAGTCTTGGTCTCAGTATCATATGCCTATTAGCTTCAAAGATGGGAAGTAGTTGGGAACTAGAATTAAATCCTTCCTCTATATGCCAGAGAACTATGTTTAGAACAAGTGGAACCCGTTTAAGAGCGATCGGTAGAGCGGTTCCTCAGTTACAACGATCACCGAACCTGAAAGCATGCTTTTTAGGACTATTCTCTAGTTAGTACTAGCATTTCCAACTCTGCAGAGTAGTTAGACCCTCTATTCACCACAGAATAATGACTAGAAGAAGTGGTATGAATTTCAGAGCTATAGGTAGAGCGGTTCCCCAGTTATAGCCCAGTTCAGGGCCATTTCCAGTCAGTACTGGCATTTAAAAGTCGATATCTCGAAGAAAGGTGGTCCGATTTGTCTGAAACTCGCAGGGAACTCTACAGAAGGGCTATAGTTTTAGGAAATGTTAACAAAATAATGGAACCCTTGCAAACTTAGAAAGAACTTAGTCAGAAATGCTAAAGAACCTGTATTAGTTTTAATGAATAAGCCACCGAGGCCAAGCTTTGAGGTATATTGAGTTTCTAGTCTGCAGTTCCTAGTTCTCGTATGTTGGTTTACAAAGAAAGTCTGGTTGGGATGTGGGACCTCAAGAGCATTTGGAGTTTTGTTTTTTTGCTTCGCTGCCGCTGCGCTGCCGCTGAGCTTTCCATCATTGGTTTCGCGTTGGTGCCCCAAAGCAGGGACCCTGCTGCACTCGCACTCGCAGTTGCCGTTGCAGTTGCAGTTGCAGTTATAGACCTAGATCTGTATACGGTTTTGTTTCTAGTTCTTGTTAAATTGTTGCTTCCATTACCAAGTTCCACCTAACCCACCTCCATCTGGTACATGTCCACCTGTGCTCCCACCTGTTGTGCTGTTGCGCCTCCTCATCCCGCTCCGCACCCGCACCCGCACCGTTCCAAGCTGTTTTTCCAAGTTTTCCTTAACTGTTTGTTGTGATGCGATCCCTTGATGTAGCCCAAGTGAGACAGAGAGAGTCAGAGAGAGTGTGAGAAAGAGAGAGAGACCCGTAGACCAGGCCCAGAGCCAGAGCCAAAGCGGAAGCCACGGCCCGGTGGTCAAGTCAGTCCGGGAGAAGCTCACAAGCGCCAAGGATCGTTCGTTCGTTCGTTCCGGCTTAGTTTGGTTTTCAATTAAATGCTACTTTGTTTCCTTAATTTTAAAAATTATCTAAAAACAAACTAACACTGTGTTTCGTCCATCCCCAATCCAGTTCTGGCCTACATGGAGATCTGCTCGGCATCCACGCGCTCCATCGAGCAGCACCGCCACACAGTCCACGCCTACAACATCAGTCGGAACATCACCCACAGCCAGACCATGAAGTGAGCCCCAATCCTAAAAGATTTAGCATCTTAATCTTAATCTTAAAAATTGCAGCATCATGCCGATGAGCAAGGAACTGTCGCCGGAACTGGAGACACCGCCCGCCCTGCCGCCGAAGAACTACAAGCAGCGCAAGACCACCTCGCTGCAGCCCTTCGTGGTAACCACCACCCCGCCGCCCAGTCCCAAGCCCCTGCTGGCCGAGAACGGCTCCACCGGCTCGGGCGGCGGGAGGCCGGATAGCCGCATGGCCACCGTCTGCGAGGAACTGGCCCCCGAGGAGGCGCCCGGCGCTCATCCCAGTCCGGTGCTGGACAGCAACGAGAACGTCAGCAGCGCCGGCGGCTCCACCTTCTACTCCCACCAGCTGCCCAGCGAGGACGCTGCCGCGACAGCGTGTGGCGGCGAAGTGGACAACGCTGGCCAGCCGATCAACTCGCTCCAGCTGCTGGACGAGGACCTGCCACAGCGCGCGGCAGTCCCCGATCCGGAGGCCCAGAAGGCCCAGGGCCCAGTGGAAGAAGAAGAGGAGGAGGATGACGAGGAGGAGCCCGAGGAGATGCTCATCAACATGCTGGAGGAGGTCGACATCACACGCTACCTGATACTCAAGAGGAAGGAGGAGGACGGGCCGGAGGTGAAGGGCGGCTACATCGACGCCCTCATCGTCCACGCCAGCCGCGTCCAGAAGGTCGCCGACAATGGTAGGCATCAGCAGAAGGCCAAGAAGAAGGAAGCCCCTGTCCAACCTGGCAAGCATTTAATACCCCCCACCCACTCCCAATCCAAATCCCCGACTAACAAATCCAAACCCAAAACCAAACCCAATCCTAGTCACTTTCGCTCTCATCTAAAAAATACCTCTGTTGTCTCCGTCTCTGTATTCCATCACTGCCCCTCGATCGTGCGCAACGCAGCGTTCAGCGAGGCCTTCATCACCACCTTCCGCACCTTCATCCAGCCGATCGACGTGATCGAGAAGCTGACCCATCGCTACACATACTTCTTCTGCCAAGTCCAGGACAACAAGCAGAAGGCCGCCAAGGAGACCTTCTCGCTGCTGGTGCGCGTCGTCAACGACCTAACGTGAGTACATCAACGACCATCCTCTCCTGCCCCTTGGCTAATCCCCGGTCCTCTTCCAGGTCGACGGACCTCACCAGCCAGCTGCTCAGCCTGCTGGTGGAGTTTGTCTATCAGCTGGTCTGCTCCGGGCAGCTGTACCTGGCCAAGCTGCTGCGCAACAAGTTCGTGGAGAAGGTCACCCTCTACAAGGAGCCCAAGGTGTACGGGTTCATGGGCGAGCTGGACTACGGTGGCGGGGGGTGTGGGCGGCGTCGGCGGGGCGGGCGGGACTGGAGGCGTGTCCGGTAACGGGGCCGGCCAGCCCAGTCTCCTGGACCTGAAGTCGCTGGAAATAGCCGAGCAGATGACCCTGCTGGACGCCGAGCTGTTCCAGAAGATCGAGATACCCGAAGTATTACTATTTGCCAAAGATCAGTGCGAGGAGAAGTCGCCGAACCTGAACAAGTTCACCGAGCACTTCAACAAGATGTCCTTCTGGGCGCGCTCCAAGATCCTGCGCCTGCAGGACGCCAAGGAGCGCGAGAAGCACGTGAACAAGTTCATCAAGATCATGAAGCATCTGCGCAAGATGAACAACTACAATTCGTATCTGGCCCTGCTCTCGGCCCTGGACTCGGGACCCATAAGAAGGTAAGGCCTGGGGATCGAGTATCCTTTCAATAGAACCTGTAACGCGAGCACTTCCGTCCACAGATTGGAGTGGCAGAAAGGCATTACGGAGGAGGTGCGCTCCTTCTGCACCCTCATCGACTCCAGCTCCAGCTTCCGGGCCTACCGCCAGGCCCTGGCGGAGACTAACCCTCCCTGTATACCCTATATGTGAGTCGCTAGCTTGAGAGTGCCCTGAATCTGTGGATAACTTTGTGTTTTTCAGTGGCCTGGTCCTGCAGGATCTGACGTTTGTGCATGTGGGCAACCAGGACTACCTGTCCAAGGGCGTCATCAACTTTTCCAAGCGCTGGCAGCAGTACAATATTATTGTAAACATGAAACGTTTTAAGAAATGGTTAGACACTCGTGTCTTTTATCCTTTGGAATACCTAATATCTCTGATCTCTGATCTCGTAGTGCCTATCCATTTCGACGCAACGAGCGCATCATACGCTTCTTCGACAACTTCAAGGACTTCATGGGCGAGGAGGAGATGTGGCAGGTGTCCGAGAAGATCAAGCCACGCGGCCGCCGCCCGGTCAACTATTAGTCTTCAGCAGCAGAACACCAACCCTATACATATATACCTATATCTGCGTACGTGATGGGAACTACACGGAGAGAAACGGAGGTGGCACCATCGTCAAAAAGATACAAACTATTCTATTGGGTCTGAGCTACTCTCTGTCTATATATATATATTTATAAATATATTTATATACACACATTATGAATAATATATAGCTATAGTTACCAAACCGATACCGGGTCAGAGATATATATACTTATATACATCATAACTAAAAGATATACACCGATTCAGTAGCCGCGTACAAAACTAAGAGGAAAATATTTAAAGAAAAACGAAACGAAAAAGCCGAGAGCAGTTCTCTAGTAGTCGAACTATTAAGTAAGCTCTGTGACGACCTCAGCCAACTCCCCACCAACTGATCGAGAGTCCCTATCTACAATAAGCCGCGAGAATCCCCGAGAGATCGGTCCTTTGTTTTCTAAAATCCTGAAATCTCTTATACAGACACGAACACAACGAATTTTTGGGACGACCAGAGAGAACACACACTGTACGTTTTAAATAGAGGCCAACAAACCAAACTTGAAAACAAAAAATGTGTTAACTATTTAATTATGAAAAGCGATCTGAATCGCAGACTACGAAGCGACGAAACCCCTGGGCAGAGGCACCAAACCCAATCCAAACCAAGCACGCCGCGAATTTTATGCAATCCTCTAGAGAAACCAAAAACTAAACGAGCATTCTAGAACCCCTCTTCTATGTGTTAGAAAGGATATATATTATTGATTCTGAAGAACGGGGGAGGTGTCGGACGGCGGTGTCGATCAATCAATCAAATCAATCAAAAAAGAAAGAACCTTCATTTCGCAACTCAATTAACGAAACGACTTTTAAAGTTAAAAACAAAAACCTAAAAAAAAAAACATGGGAGATTACCTAAATTCAATTTGCTTTTAAATGTACGACTAACATTAACTACAAAATATATATACATATATATTTACGGATAGGCAAATCGATATACATATACAAATCGATATGCGATGGGGGAAGGATAAAAGGATACCTTGCAAAAAAATAAATAAAACTAAAGCTCCGTATAAAGTGTAAACTAGATAAGCCTTGAGGTTATATGTGTGGGACGCATCGATTGTTGGCCGGTGATCGCGACCTTCTGAAGGTTTCGATTATTCCGATAACGATAGTGTAGATCCTGTAGTCCCACAGCCGTATAGATGTTATAGGCGTATGTGTGTCTAACCTTGATGCATTCGTTGTCATCTGTCCTCTGTCGATCCACCCAGAGTACACTCTGAGATTCTACTTTATTTCGATCAGATTGCGATGACCGACTTTCGAATGTACTCTGCTACAGTATAAATACACTTGGAGAAATAGAGGTTACATATACACCAAACACAGATACACACACACAGCTACAGAACACGCACATAGGAAACAAGACTGTCTTTTAGGATATATATGTAGTTGTATTTCATTTATCTAATCGAGCTACATATTGTATGTACTGCTTATATAGAAATTGTTATAACGGGAACTTGAACTTGAACACACACACACACACAGAAACACATACACTGAAACCGATCCATCAGTATAACGGTTAAAAATATATATATTTATAATACGATAATTATAAAAAAAACAGTAAACGGTTCGGAATCAAGTATAAAGTAGAAAAAGCGTATAGACATACTCCGATATATCCGATATCTCTGATTTAGTCATTGCTTTGTATGTGCCTATTATCGATTTTTGATGTATGTATATTGTATTTCAACATCATTTTTAAAATTAAAATCTACATTTTACTACCTACGACGTGTATGTAATGTAAAACTAAACTAAAATATATATAAATAATATATATATATATATATATATGAAAGCCAAGAAACAGAAGATATTATTACAAAAAAAAAAACAAAAACAAAAAATATGTTTACTAAGCTAACAAACCTAAGGATAACAACTTACTCGTTTTTTTTTTGATTACCTATTATTAATTATTATTATTGTGTCTATCCCGTTTATTAAATTAAAAAAAGTCTTTTGTACATGTATGTATGTTTAAACTTAACTGATTAGTTTGTATGTCATCACGTGTAATTGTATTTTCGTTTCATTTCCCTCCCCTCCTGAAAAACAACAAAAATTAGAGCAAATTTTCAATTGTAAATGTATTTGTAACTAAATGTTATGCGTGTATTCGTAAGAAGAATGAAAAATAGCTACACAATCAATGTATTTTTCCTTTAAATTGCAAAATGTCTTTTTAATTCGCGGGAAGGGTGTTGAAACGAAGTCTCGTGATTTCAAACTGCGCGCCTTGTACCCTGTGGTGAGTTTGATCCAGTGTGACCACCCCGAGAAGATATTCCCCACGATCGATAGGCGATAAAATACCAAAACTAAATTCGATTACTCGTGTTGTTGGTAAGTATCGAAATCGGTGTTTCGATATAAATCTACATTTTCGACATCCCCACCAGCGACAGACGTAGTCGTTCGAAAATAAGAAGCGGACTAACATACCAATATTAAACACGAAAACATGCCCAAATAAAAGCCTACGCCGGGAAAAGCGAAATACGAGTGTTTTTTGCAATTATTTATAAATATTAAAGAAAAAAGTAGCCCGCGATCGGTTGGTAATTTTCAATAAAAGTGCGCTCTTTCCTTGCAATTGGAAGCTTTTCGCCGTCGCGGTTTTTGTTTGGTTTCCTTTAGCTTTTTTGTATTTATTTTGAATTTTTTTTTTGATTGTCGACTCCAGTCAAGTGCCAATTTGAAGTCTAACGAGTATGTAAAAAAGGAATATTTAAAAAAAAGAGTGAAAAAACCAGTTAAAAAAGTGATATGTTTTGGGAAATATACAAAAATGTTGACACACTTTAAAATCAAGTGATTTATATAGTATATGTATATGTTTTTGTCTGATTTTGGCTTATCCGCAGTTTTAAAAATATAAACATCGGTTCTAAATTAAGGAGAGATAAGGAAAGCAACAAAAAAGTATAATATTATATATATTTGAATCTCCTATTCCAGACAGACTTGAACAAATTCAAGTTCAAAAACCACCAAGTGGCTTTTTCTTTCTTAAGAATTTATGTTTTTTATTTTAAAATTTAAATAAGATTATTTATGAAGAAGGTTCAAGTCAAAATAGGTCCATGTTCTAAAGAATTCTTCCTAGGAATTCTTATTTATTTGATTATTTTTTTACTTTTTCCCTAAAATATTTATTAGTTTCTTCCAAGAATCTCAAATTCTTCAGACATTGGTCTTAAAAATTATATAATTATATATTTTCATTCATGAATCATCTGGAAATATGCATTAGCTTGCAATCTACACTCATTTTGAGATGATTTCCTGCCACAATCCCCATGAATAATGCATTATTATTCAGTTTTTTCCTAAAAAATAATTTAAAATATTAAAAATGAGTAATATTCTGCAAGTTAGAGCATTCGGTGAACCACCTAACCCCTCCAGTACCTGCTCTTTGGGGTTTTGGCGCGCTCGAAAGGCGTGAAAGTCATTGTCTTGAACGTTTGATTGCCAGATCGGAGTTGGAGAGGCTCCTGGTGGGGCAACTAAATGGGGACTGGGAGCCTGGACCTCTGGCGGCAACTGGTTAACACCGAAATGGAGTGGAGTAGCATGTAGTAGGGTATACAACATGGTTAGCATGCAACAAATGGAATGGTGGCTGTGCTTTTCTGTGCAAAACTCCTTCACTTTACTCCACTCCACAGTCTCCACTACAGCCTCCACCTACAGCACGACTCCACCTCCATCTCCACCTCCATCTCCAGTTCCAACTCCATCTCCATCTCCAGCTCCACTCGAGTCGACTTGACTTTGCTTTCCTCTTGAGAAGACACACAAACATATGCAGGTTATATAGACACACGATCGCATCATCAGAATCGGAATTCTCTGAGACTCTCCAGTAGCTTCTGCTTCTTCCTCCTCCTCCTTCTCTTCTTCTTCTTCTTCTGCACGTCCGTCCGTCTTGGCCAGCCTGCGTGTCTCGCGCTCCTCCTCCTCCTCCGCCTCCGTCTCCATCTTCCTCCTCGTTCTCTTCCTTTTTGGAGGCCCACTTGAGCCCACTTGGAGACAGGCGTTGTTATCCGCCTGTTGTCTGTCCCGCCACAGCCCCCACTCCTGGCTCCCGGCTCTTGCCCCTGCCACATACCCTACTCCTGCCCCTGCCCCAACCCCTGTCCCTGCCACTCGATTGGTGATCGTTATCATTAGTAGGAGTAGCAGCAAGGATTAATGCTTGCCACTGTCTCTAAGGCTACACCGACTAGAGGAATACCCTACATGGTACCCTACAACCTGTCTCTCCCATCGAGAGTAGCGCACTCCCAAGTCGACCTGGTCTCACCTGGTCATTCATTTATTTGCCGAAGGTGTTTTTGTTGGTGTTTCACACAGCCTCTTTTTTACGACAAGGTGTGTGTGTGTGTGTGTGTGTGTTGGTCAAGGTGTGCTGGTGTGTGTGTGTTGTTTCATTAAGCAAACAGAGGCTGCAAGTGCCGTGGAGTGAAGTAGTTGTTGCTGTTGGACATCATTTAAATCGGTAGCTCCTACCTCTTGATTGAGTGAGTACCTGTGTGTAAAGGTGTCCAAGGTGTGTATGTATATGTGTGTGTGTGTACAAAGGTGTTTCCAACTAGCCATGTGTGCGTGTGTCCACTTGAAATCCTTTTAGTCGATGACTTCTTCTCCTTGAGACAACAATTTGTTTGTGTATACCCCCCCTTTGTCATGTGTGTTGTTTGTTGATGGGTGTGTGAGTGTGCGATTTCCAGCACTTGATGCTGTCACTCCCCCCTCTTACACTGTACAAAATTTATTCAAATCTTTTTATGGTTTTACTTATTGGCGTAATTGAGGCTTTTCTTCGTTTATTTTAGGAGCTTTAAATTCAAAACATACTGCTTTTTAAGTAGATTTTGATTACAATTTTATTTCCTATTTATTTTATTTAAATCCTATAATTGTGGAGGAAATTTCATAGATAAAAAATCATGCTTTTCCACCCTTTTTAATGAATTTAGTTATGAAAGGTATCATATATTTTCAATGGATTATGATAATAATCCCTGATCCAAACCCGGATTTTCCACCTGATGTTAGGAACTTAAAAATGTATTATTTTTTGTTTAATTTATAACCTGAATATAAACATGTGCATCTTAAAGAAATATTGTACAAAATTAACCTTCCATTTTTTGGTATTTCTTTCACAAAATTCCACACAAAAGTAAGGAATCATTAACCTAAAAACGTATAGATTTTTTATAATACCTAATTTTCCAATAGATTTTATTAAATTTTCAATATAAAACAATAAATAATATTTTACCTTATCTATCTTACCTAATAATATTAGGTAATTACCAACCTCTTAATATTTATTTAATTTACTTCTTCTGGACTTGCTCTAAAATATACTTACTTCTATTATTAATTATTATTATTATTATGGTATTATGTCCCCAAAAGTAGAAGGATTTTTTTCGGGTGCATCTTTTGTGTCTCCCAGTGTCCAGGTCCCAGAGACACACTCGGCTTCTTGTTCTCGCTGGTGTTGTGTGTATGTTTTTTATTATTTCTTTTTTTACAAGTATATATCTCTCCGATTTTGTTCCTCGTCCACCACGTCTCCCGGCCCTCGGCCCTCGGCGGAGGCTTCTTTATTTTCTTGGTAATAAGGTGTGAGAAAGGCAATAATCGTAAAGAGCTAACAAATTGTTGTTGCCTGTTTGTTGCCGTTGTTCCAACTTCTTTGATTGCTGCTGCAGCTACTGCAGCTACTGCAGCTCCCCCGCCCCCGCCCCAGACCCAGGCCCAGCCAAGACCAGGTCCCCCCACCCGGGCACCAGCTCCGTCTCCTGGCTTCACACTAAAATGTTAATCTGTCCCTTCTCCCTCCGCCGTCCCAACTTGGAGGCAATTATACAGATACCACATACAGGAGAGGCACAAGGATCCCCATTAACGATCCCCTATGGCTTCATCTTCATTCCTCCGACCCGATATGGGCTTCTCACGGTAGTACCTGTCTCCTCCTGGATGTTAGTACCTGTATTTTGCGACACTTTTCATTACACCTGGCATCCCTCATCGAAAGCCCAACTTTTGATTGGAAATTCCGCATCGTAGCTGCGGTGGGGACTGACCCTGGTGGGACTCTGACGACTTCATTGCCACTATCTCTGACGATTCGGGTGTATCATGTGCCCGGCTTATCACCATTAATTAGCATCGAAATCGGGCATCGAGTAAAAATAATTTCAAAACAAATCGAATGTGCCGGGCTCGTAGAGAAATTGGGGTTTGGGATCATGATCCCGATTTTGATTCCGATCTCGTGCGCTATGCTCAAGCCTCGGGGAGTATTGCGTTGTGTTTCAGAGTCCACCAGCACTTCCGCCTCCAATGACCTGGTGGGGGCTGGCTCAATTATGCATCGGATATACGTGGGTGTCTCCTCAATTAGTCCACTTGAAGATGCAGCTTCCCAGCTTCTCAGAGCTCTACCCCTCTCTTTCTAGCTCTCTTTTGAAATCTTGAAGAGTCTTTGGAGAATTATAATATCCATTAGATGGTATGATTAAAGAAACTCCTCAAAAAAGCCAGAGGAAAAGCCTCCCAACTGTCATCACTGCTAGTCCCCTGATCGAGCCCCTGTCCGCTGGATCGCCCTTTCCTCTGTCTGCTGTCCGTTGTCCGCGTGTCCGTTTGTCCGCTGTCCACTGTCCGTTCACTTGTTCGTCGTGTTAAACGTCTGGCTTCTGGCTGTCCAGTCTGCCGTGTAACAAGGTTGGCTGGCTGGCTGGCTAAGATCTCGGATGGGCCCGGTCCGCTGCCCTCGTTGACTTGGGTAACTTCACACCAGGCAAAGTGCTAACGACTTTGTACCTGCTCTCGGCCCCTGGCCCTTCCTTATATTTTTTTATGTTTCTCATATATATATATATATTGTATATATATATATTGTTTTTTCCTGATCACTCTTTACCGCTTCAATCTGACTGGAATCGGAGGGGTTGCCTCGGAATGGGGACACTTCAATTTGTGGCCGGGCATCATTGCTTTTCGTTAATGCTTTATATACACTATACTATATAAAATATATATAGTTATATAGTATACAATATGAGGCAGGGGAAGCAGGAAAAAGACGTTCAAGTGATAAATGGCTTTTAGCAAAATTGCAGGCAGCTTAATCCAGATATTCAATGGATATACAAGTTCCCTATAAAGAGGTTGTCTATATTTCCTATCCCACTTCCCCATATATAGCTTGTTTATAAAAGACTGAAAGACGATTCTCCGAAAGCCAAAGCCCAGGGTAAACCCCCCTAATATCCGCTGGCAAATATAGATAATGCCATCGATTTCGCAGCGAAATCGAAACGCAAATAGATCGGCGAGTATCTGCAAATATTGCTGGAAGATAAACAAACGATCTCGATCGGGAGTCAGTAGTCGGATATTGGATTTCGATCTCCTCCTCGTGGGGGATTCTATTTATTTGATTTTCTATCCAGACCTTTCGGCTTATGGAACCCATTTGTTTGCCTTTCGCCACAGCACCGGGGAAATATGACACAGCAGAGCTTCGGTTGCCTGGTAAAGTGGTTCTATCTGGTGCTGATCGTGCACACGCTCCTCTGCATCGGCCAACTGGAGTGTCGTCAGTCGCAACACAATCGCAATCACAACAACAACAACAACAATAACAACAGACGATCCGGCGGAGATTCATCCAGTTCGGAGGAGCAGCATGGCAATACCAGCGACGGATTGGACAACAACTTCACGGACAACGACAGCGGCGGAGTGCCCCATCGCCAGAGGAATCAGCGAAAGAAGCAACAGGGCGGCGGTGGAGGGGGCGGGGGAGGTGGCGGTGGGGATCGGAACGGGGGCAACCACCGTCACAGCCGCCCCGAGGAGAACGGCGTCTCCTTGTGGATTAACGAGCAGCAACTCAAGATGCTAACTGGTAAGTATGGTAATTGTTTCATCATGGAATTAATCAAAAAGCATGCTTTTACAACGATCTATTATGTAAAATCACATAAAAGCATGCTTTTGAGAGTATAGATCATGGCTTAGATCGGTCCATGCTTTTAGAATGTCATAACCTTGTTCATGACGAAAAAAGCATGCTTTTCAATTCAAAATAACAAAAAAACCTCAAAAAAGCATGCTTTCATACTTCAAAACATGCTTGAGATTCTAAATTTTATGCTTTTTGAATGAAAAATGTTTTAATGAAGCATAAAAAGCATGCTTTTAGAATGACCTAGTATGTAAAATGACACAAAAGCATGCTTTTGGGAGTTTGGATCATGGCTAAGATCCAGAAAACATTTTAAATTATATCGATCCATGCTTTAAGAACATCATAACCTTGTTAATGATGAAAAAAGCATGCTTTTCAGATAAAAATAACAAAAAAGCATGCTTTTTCATAGACAAAATACAACTAAATCAAAATAAAAACTTATACCAAGATAGTAGGTAATCTTTATGAAAAAAGCACGCTTTTAAGTAAGGGAGATCAAAAAAGCATGCTTATTGGAAAAAATATCATAAATCTTGACAAGTATATAAAAATATAAAGATCTATTAATGTATCTACTTATCTATTTGTTGATCAAATCAAAAAAAGCATGCTTTTTAGCAACGCATACACAAAAAAGCATGCTTTTTAGAAAAGCATACCCAAAAAATGCTTTAAATCGTATTATACGAAGATGATAATGATAATAATGATGTAATTATTTGAATTGTTATCTTTTTTTTATGAAAAACCTCCAATTCCAGCGATGTACTTCCCGCAAGGCTACTCCGAACGCCTGTACGCCATCGACAATGGACGGGTGACGAACGATTTGCGGGACACGACGCTGTACAACTTCCTGGTGATTCCATCGGAGGTGAACTACGTGAACTTTACGTGGAAGTCGGGCCGACGGAAGTACTTCTACGACTTCGATCGCCTCCAGACGATGGACGACAGCATCCTGAAGGCACCGACACTATCGATACGGAAGAGCGGAAGGATACCGCAGGAGCAGAAGAGTAAGTAGTTAAACGACTCAGTGGCACATTGGTGGCGCCGCTCCGTCTGTCTGAGCCTCATTATCCCAGATAGATTTTAGCATCTTCCTGCCCTGCACCGGCAACAGCTCCGGCACCGCGTCCTTCAACGTGGGCCTCAAGATCCAGACGCGCCACAACAAGTCGCTCTCGGGCACACCCATCCGCCTCAACTTCAAAAAGGAATGCGCCCACAGAGGTGTGTATGATATAGACGCTTCCAACCCTACTTCACTAACAACTTTGCAAGGTAGTGTATATGAAACAAAGCAATCAAGCAATGCTTTTATCCTAGTCTAGTACATTTAGTATCCGCATGTTGTGCGCCCAGCCTCCCTTGTCTCTCTCCCTTCATGCATGTTCTTCCACATCTGCAATACCTACACTTCGTATCCCCAAAGAATCCTTACATGTCCTTTATGTCGCTTTTTGTATCTGTGCTTCGTTTTGTGCGTGTGTGTGTCTGGTCTGGTGTGTGCTGATGTGTGCTTCTGCGTTGATGATGTGATGAACCCGTGAACTAAACTAAAAAAACTTAAGCTCCCGATCCAGAATGCAGCTTGAAGTGCGGCAAGAACGGCTACTGCAACGACAAGCACATCTGCAAGTGCAACGTCGGCTACACGGGTCAGTATTGCGAGACGGCGTTCTGTTTTCCACAATGCCTCAACGGTGGCAACTGCACGGCTCCGTCCGTCTGCACCTGTCCGGACGGCTACCAGGGCACCCAGTGCGAAGGTGGTAAGTACATACGACACATCCTTAGTTCTAAAAACACTCAACGATCTTTAATGCTTAAGGGGAAACGGATAGGCACGGGTAATTTGATGTAGTATATATATACAGATGATGACTCCCTGGTGGGAGCTCCTTAACTAGATCTTCTTCGATATGGCTATGGCCGTCTTGCAGCCAAACTTGATGACCTCGGTCATGGCCTGGTAGAACGGCGCCTGTTCCGCACCATGATCGATGCCCGTATCGTGGTGTTCTTGCTCCTCATCCCTGAACTTTGTAATGGTCTCCAGTAGTTCCTGAAATAGGGACATGTATTTAACCAAAAAGGACAGAATAACAAGGACTACCTTGTCTGGGTTGGGTGACTCCATGATCTGGCGCAACTGGTCGTTGTAGTGCTCCACGATCACTGTCTCCACGGCCACCGTACAGGCCATAGCCGCCTTCTCGCCCATAAGAGCCGTTCCGGCGCCCAACACAAATCCGGCCACGTTCCACAGCGGCGTCATGATCGTGGGTCGGACGCGGTGCTGCTGGATAAGCTGCTCGAACTGGCGGCGGTGCTCCTTCTCCTGCTCCCACATATGGCCGATGGTCTTGCCCATGGGTCCGTTGCCCAGGACTGCCATCTGCCCAGCATAGATGCGATCGGCGCCCAGTTCGCCGGCATGATCCACACGTATGATCTCGTCGGTCAGGGCCGTTGGACGAGGACGCAGCGATTGCGGTCGTGTGGCGAGAGCTCTACACTCTCCGGAACCTGTTCCTGGTGCTGCTGCGGAGCTGAGGTAGCGCCGGGAGGCCAGATGGGTTTCGGGCCTGGCCAGGATTCCTCTCAGCATGCTGGCTGTAAGACAAATGGACACATTTTTAGTTGGGAACACATTAGAGCTACTATTTAAGTTGTTAACTATGTGGTGATCCCTGCCTTTAGTCTAAGATAGTTTCCCTATTGATTGGTATTCTAATTTAAACTTGAACCCCCAGGTATTTGCAAGGAGAAGTGCCTGAATGGCGGCAAGTGCATACAAAAGGACAAGTGCCAGTGCTCCAAGGGCTACTATGGCCTGCACTGCGAGTACTGTGAGTAGATGGCTGTCCTCTCAAAGGGAATGCTTTTAAATGAATCTTGTCCCATAGCCAAGTGCGTGATTCCCTGCATGAACTCCGGAAGGTGCATTGGCAACAATCTGTGCCGCTGTCCGAGTGGATTCAATGGCAATCACTGCGAGATCGGACGCCAGCAGCGTTCCATTTGCAAGTGCCGGAATGGAACCTGTGTCAGTCACAGGCGCTGCGTATGTGATCCGGGCTTCTATGGACGCCACTGCAATGCGCGTAAGTTTCAGGATACGGGTCTATCCTTTCCACTTTAACCTTTTTTACTCCACAGGCAAGAGACGCCATGCCCGTCACTGAAAATGAGACACCTGGGGGACATGACATCGCATGTGCTATTGTAATATTCATTGCAACTTGAACTTCTGTCTATAAGAGAAAAAAAACACTTTTCACAACAAAAAATGAAACAAACAAACGGATGAAACAAAAATAATACTAATTGTGATACGAATTTTTGTGTAATTTAACATTTTTAAATAAAAACGAAATCTTAGAAGACTAAGGGGTTAAGCGTCCTCTTACATATGAGCTGTACTTACTCATTATCACGTAATCACCTTAAAATAATAATAATATCAATAAATAATAGTGGCTGGGAAGTATGTTTATTACGCCGCACACCAGGGCTAGATCAGCTGGCAACCAGGGATGCGAAACTATGTTATTAGAGATGAACAGTATTAGTTGGGCTTAGCTATCGACTATCGACAGATATTTATCGATTATGTTTTTTAATATTTATATTTCAACACACGAGTATTTATTTAATTACATAGAATTTGATTATTTTATTATTATTATATTCGTTGCTAAGGGTTACAAATACCCAATGGATAAGTTGGACCCGTAAATCTTGGGCAAACAGCTGACGATAGTTCGATAGCCGATAGTCAGCTGGAAAGAAATTTGAAAAACAAACTATAAGTTTTCTAAGCGGGCTTACGTGTATCTTAATTCCATTTCATCAAGATTATGTTTGTTTGCAACAAGCGTATATATGGGATCTATATAATTGGAAGATAACCCCAGTGGCAGCATCCGCCGCAGAAGGTATAAAACCTTGCTCCCCACACACGCCCCGGAACAGTTAATTGGGGATCGTTACTGCGAGTAGGGTCAATAAACTGGGCGTGAAAGTAACTCTGCCAATCAATTGCAGCTCTCCGAAGATACATACACAAAAGTTTGCAATCCCGTGACAAAATGTCAACGCAGCAGCAACAATTGGACTACATTGAGAGGTACTTGGTGTATGACATTTTCCAGTACTTCGGAAAGGATGCCGTGCTGGAGTCGCACAGTGTTGAGTGCTCCACGGGGCTCGATGGCTTCATGTCCGCCCTGTACACCGTTAAGCTGGAGCTGACGGTCGCCGATCGCCGGCAAGCGGAGGTGGTGCTGGTAAAGTTCATGAAGGGCGACGAGGCGTTCCGCAAGAGCAGCAACTCTTACATCCAGTTTGCCAACGAGATCTTCGGCTATGCCGAGATTCTGCCCGCCTACGAGCATGTCCTGCGTGAGAGTCATCTCTCCAGCGATGTGGTGACCAACTGGGTGCCGCGCTGTTACTTCGCCAAGTTCGGCCAGGTGGACAGTGAGTACTCCCAAGAAGTAGCGATCGGGGGAGGTAGCTCTTCTAACTACGTTGCTCTTTATAGAACTCTCAGCTGGTAACGAATCGGTGCTGGCTCTGAAACATCTCAAGGGCGATGGCTATGAGCTGGGCCCACGACTTATACTGCGCCGGGACCAGCTGGAGGCCATGGTGCGCCTGATTGGGCCGTTCCATGCCATGGGCTACGCCACCCGCATCCTGCAGCCGCAAGTGTACAACCGGCTGCGGCAGGGGATTGTGCCCATGCCGTTTGTTTCCCCCGATGGAAAGGGCGGCTTTGATGTCCTGTACCGTGTGGCCTTCGACCGATTCTTTGGGTTCTATGACCGCAAGAAGGAGGTACTGCTGCAGGGCACAGATCCAGGGCTGGGAGCTGCCATCGAACGTCTGCGTGAAAAGTACTTCGCACAACCCAACCAGCTGCTGGAGAAGATTCGCACCCAATCGTATGCCGACGATCAGCCGGATAGCTATTTCGCCACCATTCTGCATGGCGACTACAACCGCAACAATGTCCTCTTCCACTATGGAGCCGATGGCAAGGTGGACGACATCAAGGCCATTGATTTCCAGGAGCTGCGCTACAGCACCACAGCCATCGACTTGAGCTTCTTCATGTACATGAACACTCCGTCGGCCGAGAGGGAGGAGATCTACAGCGATCTGCTGGTGAAGTATCACAAGGGCATGATTGAGATGCTGGAACTCGTGCTGCAGCGCCACCAGGACGAGCTCACCGAGGCGAAGGTGCAGCAGCTGCTGGAGGAGTACAGTTTCGAGCGATTCCAGGCCCACTTCAAGCGATACGCTTTCTACGGCGTCCTCGTCTGCATGCACTTCATGCCCTGGTTGCTGGGCACCGAGGCTGATTGCGCTGAGCTATCTCGGCTCTTTGATACGGACATGCACAGCGCCGCCTTCCACCAGCTCTCCATTGATATAGCCGGTGACGTGGCCAACGAGGAGATCTTCAAAACGGTGCGACACGCCTACGAGCACGGCTACATGGACGAGATATAAATAGTAATCTCACAATCTTATCACCAGGCTACATACGTGGCTAACAAGCCACCTGTTTCACGCACTTTTCCAAAAAATTGTCTATTGTATCTGTTGCCTTCACGTTGATATTGCTGTATGGACTCCATATTTTAGAGAAAAAGCCCTGTGTGATCTAAAATAATGTTTTGCTGGAAATACATATAGCCTTTATAGATATTTTGACTCCAAAGTTCGTTTAACATTATCTGATTGTGTTTGCTATTATTTTGATTCCGATTACTGCTAATTATGCACCGTTATCGCTATAAATTATAGAGCCTACATAAAAAAGTCTTGATTTTTTAAGCATAATGATTAATTGGACATGACAAATCCCAGAAATGTCTAGAAACCTAGAATCCTAGAAATGTCCACAGTGATGGTTAATCTTGCAGTTTTCCCTATAGGGCCCACCGCGATGGCTGTATCTTCTCCAATTCTTGTCCGATTCTCAAGCGGAGTACCTTAAACGATTTGTGGATCGATTCTCCACCATTCTGCATCAAAATCCTGAGACAAAATATTTTTTAAATTTTTTGTCCAATTTTCCTGATGGGATCCCTGGAAATGGGGTTTTCCCCTATAGGGCCCACTGCCATGGCTATATCTTCTCCAATTCTTGCCCGATTCTCAAGCGGAGTGTTTTAAACGATTTGTGGATCGATTCTCCACCATTCTGCATCAAAATCCTGAGACTAAATATTTTTTCAATTTTTTGTCCATTTTTCCTGATGGGATCCCTGGAAATGGGGTTTTCCCTATAGGGCCCACCGCGATGGCTATATCTTCTCCAATTCTTGTCCGATTCTTAAGCGGAGTACCTTAAACGATTTGTGGATCGATTCTCCACCATTCTGCATCAAAATCCTGAGACAAAATATTTTTTAGATTTTTTCTCCATTTTTGTGATGGGATCCCTTGGAAATGGGGTTTTCCCCTATAGGGCCCACCGCGATGGCTATATCTTCTCCAATTCTTGTCCGATTCCCAAACAGAGTACCTTAAACGATTTGTGGATCGATTCTCCACCATTCTGCATCAAAATGCTGAGACAAAAATATTTTTTAGATTTTTTCTCCATTTTTGTGATGGGATCCCTTGAAAATGCAGTTTTCCCCTATAGGGCCCACCGCGATGCCTATATCTTCTCCAATTCTTGTCCGATTCTCAAGCGGAGTACCTTAAACGATTTGTGGATCGATTCTCCACCATTCTGCATCAAAATCCTGAGACAAAATATTTTTCAGATTTTTTCTCCATTTTTGTGATGGGATCCCTTGGAAATGGGGTTTTCCCCTATAGGGCCCACCGCGATGCCTATATCTTCTCCAATTCTTGTCCGATTCTCAAGCGGAGTACCTTAAACGATTTGTGGATCGATTCTCCACCATTCTGCATCAAAATCCTGAGACAAAATATTTTTCAGATTTTTTCTCCATTTTTGTGATGGGATCCCTTGGAAATGGGGTTTTCCCCTATGGGGTCCACAGTGATGGCTATATCTTTCCCAATTCTCATCCGATTCTCAAGCGGAGTACCTTAATCGATTTCTAGATCGATTTGCTACCATTCTGCATTAAAATCTCGTGACGAAATATTTTTTAGATTTTTTTCCCATTTATCGATGGGATCCCTTCAAAATGCGGTTTTCCACTATAGGGTCCACAGTGATGGCTATATCTTCCCCAATTCTCACCCGATTCTCAAGCGGAGTACCTTAAACGATTTGTGGATCGATTCTCCACCATTCTGCATCAAAATCCTGAGACAAAATATTTTTCAGATTTTTTCTCCATTTTTGTGATGGGATCCCTTGGAAATGGGGTTTTCCCCTATAGGGCCCACCGCGATGGCTATATCTTCTCCAATTCTTGTCCGATTCCCAAACAGAGTACCTTAAACGATTTGTGGATCGATTCTCCACCATTCTGCATCAAAATGCTGAGACAAAAATATTTTTTAGATTTTTTCTCCATTTTTGTGATGGGATCCCTTGAAAATGCAGTTTTCCCCTATAGGGCCCACCGCGATGCCTATATCTTCTCCAATTCTTGTCCGATTCTCAAGCGGAGTACCTTAAACGATTTGTGGATCGATTCTCCACCATTCTGCATCAAAATCCTGAGACAAAATATTTTTCAGATTTTTTCTCCATTTTTGTGATGGGATCCCTTGGAAATGGGGTTTTCCCCTATAGGGCCCACCGCGATGGCTATATCTTCTCCAATTCTTGTCCGATTCCCAAACAGAGTACCTTAAACGATTTGTGGATCGATTCTCCACCATTCTGCATCAAAATGCTGAGACAAAAATATTTTTTAGATTTTTTCTCCATTTTTGTGATGGGATCCCTTGAAAATGCAGTTTTCCCCTATAGGGCCCACCGCGATGCCTATATCTTCTCCAATTCTTGTCCGATTCTCAAGCGGAGTACCTTAAACGATTTGTGGATCGATTCTCCACCATTCTGCATCAAAATCCTGAGACAAAATATTTTTCAGATTTTTCTCCATTTTTGTGATGGGATCCCTTGGAAATGGGGTTTTCCCCTATAGGGCCCACCGCGATGCCTATATCTTCTCCAATTCTTGTCCGATTCTCAAGCGGAGTACCTTAAACGATTTGTGGATCGATTCTCCACCATTCTGCATCAAAATCCTGAGACAAAATATTTTTCAGATTTTTTCTCCATTTTTGTGATGGGATCCCTTGGAAATGGGGTTTTCCCCTATGGGGTCCACAGTGATGGCTATATCTTTCCCAATTCTCATCCGATTCTCAAGCGGAGTACCTTAAACGATTTGTGGATCGATTCTCCACCATTCTGCATCAAAATCCTGAGACAAAATATTTTTCAGATTTTTTCTCCATTTTTGTGATGGGATCCCTTGGAAATGGGGTTTTCCCCTATGGGGTCCACAGTGATGGCTATATCTTTCCCAATTCTCATCCGATTCTCAAGCGGAGTACCTTAATCGATTTCTAGATCGATTTGCTACCATTCTGCATTAAAATCTCGTGACGAAATATTTTTTAGATTTTTTTCCCATTTATCGATGGGATCCCTTCAAAATGCGGTTTTCCACTATAGGGTCCACAGTGATGGCTATATCTTTCCCAATTCTCATCCGATTCTCAAGCGGAGTACCTTAAACGATTTGTGAATCGATTCTCCACCATTCTGCATCAAAATCCTGAGACAAAAATATTTTTTAGATTTTTTCTCCATTTTTGTGATGGGATCCCTTGAAAATGCAGTTTTCCCCTATAGGGCCCACCGCGATGCCTATATCTTCTCCAATTCTTGTCCGATTCTCAAGCGGAGTACCTTAAACGATTTGTGGATCGATTCTCCACCATTCTGCATCAAAATCCTGAGACAAAATATTTTTCAGATTTTTTGTCCATTTTTGTGATGGGATCCCTTGGAAATGGGGTTTTCCCCTATAGGGCCCACCGCGATGGCTATATCTTCTCCAATTCTTGTCCGATTCCCAAACAGAGTACCTTAAACGATTTGTGAATCGATTCTCCACCATTCTGCATCAAAATCCTGAGACAAAAATATTTTTTAGATTTTTTCTCCATTTTTGTGATGGGATCCCTTGAAAATGTTGTTTTCCCCTATGGGGTCCACAGTGATGGCTATATCTTTCCCAATTCTCATCCGATTCTCAAGCGGAGTACCTTAATCGATTTCTAGATCGATTTGCTACCATTCTGCATTAAAATCTCGTGACGAAATATTTTTTAGATTTTTTTCCCATTTATCGATGGGATCCCTTCAAAATGCGGTTTTCCCCTATAGGGCCCACCGCGATGCCTATATCTTCTCCAATTCTTGTCCGATTCGCAAGCGGAGTACCTTAAACGATTTGTGGATCGATTCTCCACCATTCTGCATCAAAATCCTGAGACAAAATATTTTTCAGATTTTTTCTCCATTTTTGTGATGGGATCCCTTGGAAATTTTTTGTGGGATCCCTTGGAAATGTAGTTTTCCCCTGTAGGGCCCACCGCGATGGCTATATCTTCTCCAATTCTTGTCCGATTCTCAAACGGAGTTCCATAATTATAGTACCCTCTGCAAAGGGTATAATGGTAGAAAAACTTGCATTATTCCGGCCTTTTAGCCAAGAACCAAGCCACGAACCGAGCCGGCACACCCCTTGGTGGAAGAACCTCGCGTAGGTACGGCTAATGCCCTTGATTCACTTTTGAATATTTATGTTATGATATCAAATCCCCAGAACCGACGTAAGTCACAAAAACAATACATTAAACAATCTAAAAAAAAAACCAAAAAAGAAGAAAATAGAAAACCTAAAAGTAGAAAAGTATTTGAACAACTGTCGGACGGGAATCGGTGGCACAATGGGGTCTGTTTTGAAAAGCTAAAAAGCTATGTCTTTGGTGGCCAGCCAATCAGTGGATTCTCTTCCGGAGCCCAGTTAACATGCGTTGGATTGTACTCTTAGTGGCGGTCCTGGTGGCCGGGAGCCTGGAGCTGCCCTCCGTCGCCGCGGAGAATGGCCAGACAGAGCACCAGGTCAGCGAGGAGTGGAGCTGGCGGGATAGCGACGGCAACAATGGATCCGGTAGCTCGGAGTACTCCTATGTGGATGACATGCGGAATGTGGAGGACTACGAGGACGAGGACGACCTGGAGGAGGACGAGGACGAGGACGATGGCGAGGATGACTTTGACAACGTGTCCGACTTTGAAATGGACGACAACGAGGACGAGGACAGCTGTGAGTATAGCTGTCCCCGGTACTATCGTCCGGTATGCGTGCTCCGCAACGGTCACATGGTAACCTATGCCACGCCATGCGAGTACCACAACCAGGTGCGCTGCTCCATCGTCCAGAAGAGTCGAGGTGGCGCGAGACCACCGACCTTTGAGTTCTGGCACACTGGAAGTTGCGCCAAAAAATCATCCTCTTAGGAACATAAAACACAAACTAATTAGGAAAGACATTTTTTGTTTGCTTTTTTTTGAAATAATCTTAAAAATAGGCCTCTAAGGATAGGGTTTGGGCTTAACACTAACACAATTGACTTTCACAAATACTTTTGAACATAAAAATCAATAACAATATGTGGGGGGAACGACGTCACAATGAGAACACACATAATATATACGAAAACATAATACATAATGCGTAGATTCCGTTTCCACAAAACGAAGTGAGGAAAGAACTACTTGGGCTTCTTCGGAAGAGTGTCTCTTTGGATTTATTTGATAAAAATCGTACGAGGGAGGGTTGGTGAATTCAATTGACAGTGGCGTCTCCGGTCCTATCTTACAAATCTAGTAAACATACAAGTCCTTAGGTCCTAACGAAAAAAAAATGCTTTATAGCTTGGGTTACATAATTTCGAGTTTGAAACAAACTACTTTGAAGAGTGTTTTACGTAATTCGGTTTTAAAGTCCATGTTTATCTCTTGCTTATTTAGGGTTTTAAGTGTTGTGGAGCGTGGAAAGAAGGAGTATGCTTAGTCTTAGTCTCGAGCTCATTTGGAGTGTTCACTCGGGTCCGGTGCGGACCACATAGCTTTGGCGTCGCTTCACGATGCGTATCACGCAGGGCGAGTTCGCCCTTGGCTCTTGAAGCTGTTGGGATGTCCCCGGTCGGGGTTGGGTCGGTGTCGCCTCCACAGGCAGGCTTTGCTGCTGCTGTTCCCCGTTCTGCTGCCGGGCGAGCCTCATCAGCTCATCGGCTGCCGTCACAGTCTTGCGTCTTTTGGTTATCTTCACCACAGATACCTGTGGCAGTTCCTGGATTTCCTGGGGTCGTGGCACCAGTGCCACCTGCCGCTGTTCTTGAAAATTAACGGGCGCCGGCAGTGGCTTCACCACCAGATTCATTTCCCGCTGCACATCGTTCTCTTGCCAGGCGATCCTAACAACATCATCCGATGTTGTCACAGTCTTGCGTCTTTTTGTGATTTTTGCCAACGAAGCCGGCTGCTGTTCATGGTGCCCACTGGCCTCACCTGCCCGTGAATTGAGGAGCCGCTGGAGCGGGGTCTGGGGCTGGGGCTGGGGCTGGGGCTGGGGCTGTGGCTGAGCCTCATCCTCAACCCGGACGGTCCTCACCAGCTCACCAGGTGTCGTCACAGTCTTGCGTCTGGCTGTGATCTTCACCAGCGGCCGCTGTTGTTGCTGGTGCTGATTGGGAGCAGCTGCCTTTATGTTGATGGTGGGCCGGGGCACCATTAGATTCTGCACCTTGGACATCAGTTCCGTGTTCAGTGCCCGCATCATGCCATCATCGTTGTAGCGGGTGTTCCGCAGGCTGCTCTTCGAGATGATCAGACCGTTCTGGAACTGGTAGCGCACCTGCATGAGGAACTTGCGGAGATCGGCGTACGTGTGGATCAGTGGGAATCGCTTCAGTTCGTCGCGATGGAAGTCGTAGCAGTGCTGGATGTACTCCTCGAATCCGTTCCCCTGGCTGGCCGTGCAAAAGTGGCAGAATAAGAAGCGATTGAAGTGGTCAAGCATGTGCCGGAGCGTCACCAACTCGTTCGTGGACGTGAAAATGCAGTAGAAACAGTGGTAGATGATGGGCGCCATCAGTTTCCGGAAGCAGAACCGTTCGCCCGGCTTGCTGTGCTCGACGCGCCCGTGCTGGGCGATGGCGCTCATTGTGGGCATCACCACGCTGCACAAATCGCACTGGTAGTACTCGTTGGTGGCCGCATCGCACGAGCTCAGCTGCTGCAGGGCGTCCAGCTCGGCATCGGTCACGTTCTTCAGGTCGTTGGGCAGATGGCCCTCCTTGTTTATGTGCTGCATCAGGTCCATCCTGCCGGTGTAGCGGTAGTTGCAGTACGCGCACTCCTCCGGCCGCTTAACGTCGCAAGCGACAATGTTCCGCAGCGAGTGCTCCTTAATCAGGTGGTCGTCCCTCAGCACCTTGGCGTTCCCCTTGAATCGTTTGCACTCGGAGCAGAGCAGCTGCGTCTGCACCCGAAAGTAGAACGGCTTGTCGGGATGCACCTTGGCCCAGTGCTGGGTGCGCAGATCCTGCAGATTGCTGTTCGTCTCCTCGCAATGGGTGCAGGCAAACTCTGCCACATTCTCCGCCTCCTGACAGTCACCGATGTCCTCTGCCTCGTCATCGGATGCCAAGAGGTCCACTACCTCGGTGATAATGGTGTTGGACTCCGTCAGCCTTCTAAGTCTTTCCCGTTCCGGCCTTCCTACTCCCTTTTGAGCTTGATTTGGAGCTGGTCCTGGTCCTGGTCCTGGCTGTTGTGCCGGCTGTCGGTCTTGCTGTTGCCCTTGTCCCGACCCTTGTGCCTGTTCTGGCATCGGTTCTTTTGTCGGCAGAACCCGTGGAGGTGGATGCGCCGCCTCTAAATTCTTCCTAGTGTACGCCTCAAGAGTATTGGCCGTATCCCAGCAGGTTTCATCGGGAATCTGGTTCACCACCCGGTCGAACAGTAGTTGCGCCAAACCCTTCTCGCCCGGATGCGTCACCTCCATGTGGGACATCACATGGCGCTCACATGAGTGGGCGAAGTCGCAGTGGTGGCACTTCCACTGCATTCGGGTCTGGTGCTCCGCCTCGCAGTGGGACGCCATCTTCTGGTAATTGGGGGCAGCCTCCCGGCACACCGTGCAGTAGAACCCGAGCGTCTGCTTGTTCTTGCCAAGGGCGCGATGGAAGACCTGAATCAGTTGCATTGGCCGATCCGGATGGTCCTTGAGAATGTGATCGACAATGCTGCCGGCGTCCCGAGCACCGTTCTTGCACTCGGGACAGTGGTACTGGTACCGCAGGCCGTGCTCGGTCAGTGCATGAGCCATCATCTGGACGGCAGATGGAAAGAATCCCTGGCACAAATTACACATGTACTCCATCCAGCCTGGATTCGCCTGTTTGGCTGCAAAGATGGGATAAGATTAGGGATCCGGCGAGATGATTGAACGGCGGGAAATACTTACGAGTCCTTATCCACCTGATGTGTGTTATAACAGTGCCGTTTGAGTGCAAGTCCAGGGTGCGCTGGTGCACCAGCACCGCCACTTCGCGGTTTTGAGCCTCCAGATGACGTATCTGGACATGCCGCTCCATGACGGCGCGCCGGGGATGGAAGCGCGGGCACTCGCCGCACTGGTAGATGTACCGCTTGTGGCAGAGCAGATGCTGCAGGTACCGCTCCGCACTCACCGCGCCATTGACCTTGTAACTGCAGTGCGGACAGATGACTGTTTCGCTGTACTGGTGCTCGTCGGTCATGTGCTTGCGCAGCTTATCCTCGCTGCTCATCAGCTGACCATAAGTGTCGCAGGTCCTGATGCCGCACCGGAAGCGCACATTTCTGGGCACATATATGTACTCGGCAACCGTTGGCAATTGAGGCTTCAGTTTGACTATTTCCTTCAAAGGCTGACTCGGGCGTTTCTCCAGCTGGGCAGGCTGGTTAGGCTGGTTAGGCTGGAGAGGCTGGGCAGGGACCTGCGGCTGCTCCGACTGCTGCAGCTGTACCTTATAGAAAGGGGCCGCGGCTGCAGGTTGAGGTACAGATTCAGCTTCATACGCCAGACGCAGTGCCTCTTCCCGGTGATCGCCCAGATGCTTGATGATCGTCGTTCGCACCACGGAGCTGAACGAGCATTCGGCGCAGTGGATGGACTCCAGGAAGATGGGCTTACGGGGCAGAAGGGCCGACTCGGAACTCCGGTAATGAGTCTTGGTGCCCAGCCGGCGATTGGTTACCTCGGCGGTCAGTTTCCTGTGGAAGTCCTGCATCTGAGCTGGACCGAAGGGCTGCTCCACGGCGGCCAAAAAGCACTCCGTTGCGGCTGGGTCATTGGATTTGCTTCCGCTCCTCTCTGCCTCCTCTGCCAGGGGTAGCGAAATGAAGGGCACCTTGCGGCCGAGCCCCTCAAAGTGCGCCTGATGGTTCTGCCGGATGTGGTGGAGCATCATCCGCTTGTTGGTCGACGTGGCGAGGCACAGGCTGCAGATGAACCGGTGCGGAGCATGGGCCTGCTGCAGGTGGGTGCGGAGGGACTGCGGCGGCGTCTGCACGTTGCAGAACTTGCACTTCACCTGGATGGACTCGCTCGCGCTGCTCCCGATGTGGAAGAGGACGTGGTTGACGAACTGATCCTCCGACAGCCGGACAGTGCAGCCCTTTGTCGGGCAGGCGAATAGCCGGTCAGCTGAAAATATTGAAATAATTTCAGATTTTCAAAATTAGGAATCGCTTTTCGATGAGAATTTTGATGAGGTCTTTAGTGAATATTTGAACTATTTTGCATCAGATTTGGAAACCGAATACCATTTATGAATCAGAGCTCCACCCCCCTCCGATCTGCATCCAAGTATCTCAAATATCAACTGAATAAAAATTGGCCTAATTTTTGTCAAAAATCATGATGGTACCCCTTTGAAAAATTTCAAAAAATGGTTCAAAATTTTTAGTTCCAGGTTTTAATTGAAAATGATTCTACTCGAAGTTCTAAGATCGGGAAGGTATAACATTTCCGGATCTGCGCACTATAAGCCGAGTTATAGCATTTTTACTTTCAAAATACTGAAGAATTGGAAACCCCTTTCGAGAAATTGAAAAATTTTGAAATACTGAAACTGGAAGTAGCTAGTTTTTGATGCAAAAAAAGGTCCTTAAAGAGACAAGATCGCAAAGGTGTGGCTCTCCAGAATCGAACATGAACCAGCAGAGTTATAATAGTCTGTCCAGAAGAAGAAGCTCACCTATAGGGTACTCGGTACTCATCCAGTCTGCTAGGAACACTTACCATTAAGTCCCGTGGGCTTGAGGATCTCCACTACCATTTTGGTCACGTTCTCGGCGTTTTGGAAGGCGGTCGTTGAAGGTCCGGCTGCTGGAGGATGTGAGAGAAGGGACGTCTCTATGCGGGATACCGCCTGAGGTTGGGGACGGAGGGACATCTCTGTGGAGTTCACCGTCGAAGGCATGGTCGTAGTGGACTTGCGTTGGTTTCTGCGCTGATTGAACACATCCCGGATTTGCTGACTAACCGACTCCGATCCCGGAAGGCCCTCCAGCTCGGAGCGGGGCGCCAAGCTATGGATGAAGACGCCGTGGTCCAGATAGTCGTCAATATCGGTGGTGCGTTGATCACAGTAGCCACAGATGAGATGCCCCGTGCCCGTGCCTTTAAGCTCGTGGATCTTCAGGTGCTGTTTCATGGAAAGGACCGTGTTGGCACAAAAGCCACATCCCGACGACATGCATCGGAATTGAGTATGCGCCAGAGGTTGAGGAAGAACAGAAGCAGGAGATTCAGTATCCACAGGGGCTTCCGCTGGCAGGGTCACTGCGTCCTCACCCATCTGGGCGCCACTGTACACCTTGCTGATGGAGAGAGCCAGGCCACTTTGGTAGTTTATGACCACAGGGAGGGGGTTCGACGGAAGTTCCTGGGGTGGGGTAATCGGTTTGGCCACCAGGAACTCTCCCAGACCCGCGGCATTAAACTCCACCTGGTTGGGAGGTCGGGGATCAGCTAGCAGAAGGTCCCGCAGCGTTGTGTTGCTCCCAGTCTCCGTGGGATCCAGTTGTGGGGTTCTCACTTCCGTAGACACCTCCTCTCCTGTGGCAGCCGGTTCGACCAACCGATCGCCAGTGAAGCGTCGCACACGGAGCTTGGGAAGCGATACGACTGCAGGAGTCGCATCTGCACAAGGAACTGGATCCGACGAGGCAACAGGTTCCGCCGCTGAGAGGGTTACAGGCTCGGGTGCAGCATCGGCAGATGGTGTAGGTGCTGGCGCAGCCTCGACCGAAGCTGGTGCCTTCTTTGTGGGACTCTTCTGCGACATGTGGTGTATCATGTGACGCAACTCCTCTGCTATGGTATGAGGCGATGCCGATGCCTGATGGCGACCTGGACAACTGACACAAGTGCCGCTCCAGAGAATAGTGGGATGCTCCATTCGGAAGTGGGTTTCGAGGCCCACCAGCTCGCTGGAGAAGAGGAAAGTGCAGCCGGGTTGCATGCAGTAGTAGGCACGTCGGTTGGGGTCACTTCCACTCGCCGACCACACCCGGAAGGCCACGTTCTCCACCTGCCTTTTCGGAGGTGCTGGAACTGGCCCTCGAGTAGGAGCGGGGCTTGAAACTGGAGTTGAGGCAGCTGGAGGGTCAGCAGGTGCCTTTTTCGAACCTGGAACATCTTTGGGAGTCTCATCGGCAATCGTCACCGTTTCTGGTGGTTCCAGCGGTCTCAGCGAGGGCAAGAGCTCGCTAGGATCGGGCTCAGCATCCAGATCAATGACTTCACTGCTCGTGTCATTGCTGCCGGTGGAGGTGCCTCCACGTCCACCTGGGCGAGTGTTGCTGCCCCCCTTGTTCAGGATCGTGCACAAACGATTGAAGTTGTAGAATATGCTCTTTCGACTGCGGGAGATCCTATTGGCCGTCTCTAGATCCACCCAGTCGTCGGTGAGGGCGTCCTCGTCATCATCATCGTTATTTTTTCGCAGGGCCGCCGAGGCTCTGTCCTGCGAATCCTCAATGTCAGACTCATCGCTACCAATGCCATCGAGCAGATCGCCGGTTAGCTCGGAAAGACTAATATCCGGCGGAGGAGCTGACGGCTTTCGCTTCGCCGGCTTGGACGGAGCCGCCTCCTCGAGGATACCTCGGTTATCGATGAGCATCACTGGCTTGTGCTCCACTGTCAGGCTCATGTTTTGCTGGCTTGGCTCGGGTTCCATTTCGTCTTCCACCGCGGAGTCCTCGTCCACGTCCATGAGACACTCGTTGACCACCAAGACAGCTTCCTCTTCCGGTGGAGGCAACGGCAGCTGCAGACCCAGTCCCTCCGACTCCACTTCCACTTTGGCTGGCTGCGTGCTCGATTCCGGCTCCGCCTCTGGACCACCATCTGGCTCGGACTGGGTCTCCCCTTCATCCCGCTCGCCGCGTTCTTCCTTAACCAATCGCTCCGCCTTCTTCTTCTTTGCGGACTTCAGCTCCATCTTCGATGCACTGGCTTCGTTTCGGTTCTTTCGCAAAATGGCATTGGCCTCATCCTGGGAGGAGACGAGCGGCACATCGTCCAGTCTGCAGATCGTCAGCTGCTCCACCTCCAGGTCGTCTACCTCATCCTTCGCCAGGCCGTGCTGCTCTATCAAGTGGTTGTCCAGGTGCTTCTTCTCGATCTGCACGAACTGGCAGAGCTGGCAGACGTGGACGTTGAGCGGCATACGGCTGACGCTGGGATTGATCACGGGTTGGGCGCCGGGAGCACAGTTCTTGGTGTGGGCCGTCAGCTGGCCGATCCGGTTCTTGTTGGGCATCCGACAGTGGGAGCACATGTACCGCGCCTCGCCCAGGTGGTAGGCCAGATGGTCGGCCAGGCTGGCGGGCTTCATCATCAGCGGCTTCATGCAAAACGGGCACACGAAGTGGTAGAAGATCGCCTTCGAGCAGCCCCTGTGGATTTTGTAGTCCGCATTGGTGCCCCGCCCGTTGCGCAGCTCCTGCAGCATTTCGGGACTAAGCCGGGCGGCAAAGTGCTCCTGGTGCTTCAACAAGTAATGGAGGGTGGGACTCTGCCGGATGGGCACGTCGCAGACGACACAACTGCTGACAGCCGCGGAGAGGGCGTGCCATTCGGAGTTCACGTTCTTGATTCCATTGTTGTGGCGTTTCTTCTTCTTTGCCGGTTTTTCCTTCTGCGACGTGGAAGTAGTGCCCTCCCCTTGAGTGCCCACCTTCTTCTGGGACTTCTCCGTCGGAGATTGTGAGGTGACACTCTTCTGCTGCTTTAGCATTTGTTCAAGAAGCGCACACTTGCGAATCCTAACCCTGAATTTCTTGGCTTTCAGTGTCTGGGACTTGACACTGACACGGTTGATTCCCCCCACCAAGGACCTTGGTCCGCCAAAGGTCTTTCCTCTGCGCGCCATGTTTCTAATGAAGAGTGGGCTAGACAAGCGGCTGGAGCTGGTGCCCTGTGTACTGGCCTCTGTGGCACTTTCAGGATTGTCGCGCGAAGGCGACCCGGGCTGGGAGGAGGAGGAACGAGCCGAGGACACTGTTCGGGAGCGGGTGCGGGTGCGGGCGCGTTCACGACCCTGAGGCCGCTTGGTGCACGCCCGTCGCCCCGTGGCCCGCAGCACCTCCTCCCCATAGTACATCTGGGCTATGTCCTCGTTAAGCTTGTCCAGCTCGTTGCGCTTCTTGCGCGGCTTCTTGCGTGGTTTCTGGCGCCCACTTGGCGGCGGAGTTACTTGCGGTTTCTTCTGGATCTCGGTCAAGGCAACGATTTTCACGACCTCCAGGTCCAAGCGGGGCTTCTTGGTGGCACTCGACTCTGCCTCAGACTCTAGCTCTGGGTTTTGAGCCACCTCCGCGGCTGGCAGCTCTTTCATCTTTTCCTGGTCTTTCTTTTTGTCCTGGTCTTCCTTATTGTCTTGATCCTTCTTATTATCTTGGTCTTCCTTATTGGCCTGATCCTTCTTATTATCCTGGTCTTCCTTATTGTCCTGATCCTTCTTATTATCCTGGTCTTCCTTAACAGACTTGTCCTCTGGGACATCATCCTCCGGGTTCAGTGGCGCTTCTCGCACGCTTATCTGGCGTCGTCGCTTCCGATTGCCCGGAAAACTAATAATACTTTTGGCACCTTTGCTATCGTCTGTCTTGCGAACATCTTCCTTGGAAGCAGCCTTCTTCACGGTCTCCCCTTTCTTGGTGCGGGTTATCTGGCCCAGACCGAAGATGCTTCGGCTCAGTGTGGTCTCATTGAAGTTCTCCTGGCCACCCCGAGTTCTCCGCTTGCCGGTGATTATGTTGTGGGTGGAGACACGGCAGTTGTCGCTGGTCCTTTCGAACAAATTGGCCAGACTGCGATGTTGCTGGTTCTTACGGTCCTGCTCCTGGAGATCCTCGTAGACCAGGCTGCGACCGGTGAAGAGCTGCTCCTTGTCCACTAGCGGCTTGCTGGCCGTCGGGGCCATAGAATTGCGACGCTGCATAATTCGCTTCAGCTCCTGGACTGTGGGTCCCGGGACTTCCTCGTCGTCGTGCTCATCTTCAAACATGGGGTCCTTATTTTTGTCCTTCGAACCTGAGTGATCGTCAGGCATAATTACGGTGTGAGCATTCGGACCGAGGACTATCTTCATTTTCGACAGTTTCGGGGGCTTGTCCTCCGCGCTAGGTGGCTCTGAGGCCTTCTCTTGGTCTGCGGCGTTATCCTTTTTGTTCGATTTATCCTCTTTCTTGTTCGCCTCGTCCTCGTCCTGGCTGGCTGAGTTCGTGGTCCGATCCTTATCGTCGTCTGCCGGCTGCTTTCCTTCGGAAACGGAAGTATTTTTCTTTTGGAATGTTGGAATCTTATCAAATGCATCATCTTCCTCGGAGTCGTCGTCTTCCGATGGAGGGTTTTGCGATGGAGCTTCCTGCGGCAACTCCGTTGTGGGTGAAGCATTGTTTTCGGGCACCGGGGGCTCGTTCTCCAGATTATCCGTGTTTTCCGAGCTTCCCAAACTGGCCGCACTCTCCGCATCTCCAAAGTCTCGGTTGCCACTTGGTGGAACCTTCTTCTCGGCGTTGCGCTCCGCACTCTTTTTATTTCGTTTCCGGTTCCGGTTCCTGTTCCGTTTCTTTTTCGATTCTTTCTTTTCCTCGACCTTTTGGGGCTTGTTTTTGTCCGCTTTCTTCTTTGATGCTTTCTCTGTCTCCTGTTTCTTTTCCTTCTCCCCATCTTTCTCTTTTTCTATTTCCATATCCTTGTCCTTATCCTTATCCTTAGCAATATCCTTGTTTTTGGGCTTATCAGTATCCTTTGAGTTGCCATTAACTTCCTTAACTCTATCCGTATCCTTGTCCTTTTTCGCATCACAGGCTTTGTTTCTGTTCCCAGCCGCACCCTCCGCCCCCTCATTGGTGACCGTCGCAGGAGTCTTCTTGGGTATGCGGAAATCGATCTTCTTGGCAGGACCCTTCAGCGTTACGTTGCGATAGGAGGTGTCCAGCTGCAGTTCCGGCACTGCCGTCGCCGCCGCCAGCTCCCGCTCCTGCTCCCGATCCCTGCCATCGCCCTTATTGGCTGCCTCCAGCAACCGCTTCCGTTCCGCCTCCAGCCAGCGCACCTCCTCCTCAGCCTTTGCCCTGGCCATTGCGTCTGCCCGGGCCTTAGCCTCCCTGTGCTCCTTGTAGGTGCGCGGCACATCTCCTCCCGGTCCACCTGGCCTAACATACTGTCTGTTGGGATGGCCACCTCCACGTCCTCCCCGAAAACTGGGGCCACCTCTGAAGCTGCCAGAGCCATTGAAACCACTGGCGTTTCCGTTCGTAAGACCATTCCAGCTGGGCACATTGAAGCCACTCCCGTTGCCAATTATGTGTATATTGGGACTGGCGTTCTGCTGGGCCGAGTGCCAGGTGTTGGCCTCATCGAAAGCATTAAAGTTATTGGGCGGCCGCCTTGGATTGCCGGAATAGGAGGCCATCGATGCATACGGCGGCTGCTGTGGATGTGGATGGGGATGGGGATGGGCAGGGGGAGGGGGAGGCCTGCTGCGCGGATCCCTCGATTCGATACCATTGTATCGCTGATGCTGTGCCTGGGGCTTGGGATCCCTATCAAAGGATCGGAATGGCTGGTTTCCAGGTGCTGTGGCACTCACATTAACCGGAATGTTCGAGAAGGATATCCAATTGGATGGCTTCACGCTCGGCGGCGGGGGTATGGGCGATGGTGTTCTCACGAGGGGAGAAGCTATCAATGGTACAATTATATTATTATTGTTGCTGTTATTGTTGTTATTGTTGAAACTGTTAGATGACGATGGCGGGCTGTAGTGTTTGCGCAGGCGGGGATCGCAAAGATTGGGTACCACCAGTGGCTGTTCCTGGCCATTGGACGCCGCACCACCAGGTGCTCCGCCCCGTAGAGCGGCCAGCTTCTTGCGTGCCTCTTCCAGGGAACAAGCAGTGTTCTGCTCATCGGTTGCTGATCCCGGGGAAGAGTCCCTTCCTTCCGCCGGTGGGTCGGACAGCCGCGAAGGGGCTCCCTGTGGCGGTCGGCGTTGAAAGACAGCTTCCGCATTGGGTGCCGAATAATTGCGACGCGTGAATTGCGGCGGGGATGGGGACTTGGCTGCCGGATTTGCTCGCCGCGTAAATTTCACCGCCTCTGGAGACCCGTCACTGGAATCTTTGACTGTTGTGCCGGAAGAGGCAGAGCCCACCGACATGGGCGACGACGGCGTAGACTTCACAGACTGATTTCTGGCATTAGTCGCCCTGATTCTCCTCTCCTCATTGCGGGCTGCTTGCATAGCCGCCAGGACCCCGATCTTTCCCTGAATTGTGGTTTTGCGAGGACCGTCCCTTGGAGTAACTACAAAGGGCGGCGGTGGCGGAGTCTTCTCGTTGCTTTCCACAGTCGTTGTCGATGGCGATGGCGATGTAGTGGGTGTCCTGGCACTAGGAACTGTAACTGGCGCAGACGCTGCAGGAGCAGGTGCTCCCACTGAAGCCTCCTTGGAGGCAGTGGCAGCTGGTGATGCAGCTTCTTTCGTTTTTTCGGCAGTCGCAGCACTGGATCTCGAACCACTTTGTGCCTCATTTTTGGACTTACCGGGAGTACTCACTTTTGCGGGTTTGGGGGTTGGATTGGGACTGGCTTTGGACAGACCCGCCCCACCTGGGCCCTCCGGCTCATGGATGCCGGTTATATCGATTACTTCGACCGAGCCACTGGAACTGCTGTTGTTTTTGTTGACATTGTTGTTCTGCTGAGTTAGTCGCTGTGGAAATGAAGCCATTAGGATATCGATTTCAAGGACTGCAGTGGCAACCACTTACCGGCCCAAACTTGCTCTTTAGTTTGTTGATAATCCGCTCGATTTTGTTCAGGGTTATGAGGGACACGTTACTGAAATAAAGGATTGGTCAGTAGTTCCAGAGGCAGAACCGACGGAGGTACTTACTCCCGCTGGAGCAGGTTGATGAGTGACTTGAGGCGCTCGCTCTGGAGATCGGAGAGGCTGTCCTGGTACTTCGCGCGCACGCTCTGGATGAAGGGCATCTGCTTGCGAATCTGGAGCAGCTTGGACCTGATCAATTCGGTGGACTCGCCGACCATTTCCACATCGTCGTCGCTGTCGTCCATCCTCTGGCCCTGTCGCTTCCGTTCCGCCCTTATTGCTTCTCCTAGTTCGCAGACAACGGAATAAACGTGAGTAAGGATTTAATCGCGGCTTAAGGATTTAAGCACTCCTTGCAGTGCTACTGCTCGATTTTAACTAACCATTCAACAGAGATAAAATATTCTTAGAACTGACATATAGCAAAAAAAAAAAAAAAAGGAGAAGCCTGCGTCGTTCTGCAACAACAACTGCGAAGTGGCGCCGAACTACGAATGTGGCTGAATTCCGATAGACGACTTATCGATAGTTTGGGTTTGTTTTCAGAAAATGAAAAGCATTACTGATTGTTTAATTAGTATTTTACTTACTGATGTGTTTCGAGTATTTTGTTTCTCATTAAACTCGTTTTAATTTACACTCACACTAAATACCGACTTAACTTCAATCACAACCAATATGGAGGTTCTGTACACTGCGCTTAGGCCACCATAAAACATTACTCCGGGAAGACCCATCGCCCGTTCGAACCGCAACGTTTTTCTGTTTGTCTGCAAAACCATTTATTGGAAACTTCCTCCCCGAAGAGAGCATCAAACAATTCCGCAATCCGAGGCGGAGAGCGCAGAGCGCAATACAGCGTACGGCGAATTCATTTCGCCGCGTTCCGGTGCGGTGGTGTTGGTGCGATTTGCACTGGTATGAGTGGGCAGGCAGGGTGGGAAAAGATCTGTTGATTTTTGTTTCTTTTCTTTTTTTTGCCTATGTCGTCTTCAAATCACCCGTTGCTTCGTTGCTTCCGAATCGGAAACTTCTGCTTCAACAGGGCAGAGATCGTTTGTGGAAGAGACCTTGGGAAGCCGAACGACGCAAATACCAACACCCGAACGGGTCCCGCAATCCCGTTTCATCGCAACGATGTCTCTACCTGAGGCCGCAACACGGTGGTTTAAGCTTTCCGTTTTTGACAATATTATACAAATTATTTATAACTAAAGCCAGACGCCAAATGCAACTCTCAAGCCATTCATCCACACTCACATAAGTGCAAACGTATTTATATAAACATACATACATACATATATACATATATTTATATATCGCTTAGCCTATTTAACTTTGTTTGTCTCGTATATCTGACACGGAATGCATGCACAAAGAAGAAATGAACATATTTTGATATTTCTTCAAGAAGCCCTTTCTTTGGATATATACATACGCTCAAGCGCTTCAAAATATGGATGGATGGACGTTACGAAAATATATCTTATAACTTTTTGTTTTTCTTATCTTTAAAGACTACTATAAATTTACTTAGATCTCTAAATGCCATTTAAAGCCACTGGATTTAATATGAATCAATCTACCATTTACTCAAGTACTCATCGCACCAAACCTAAGTTAACTTAAGGAACCTACCCCTCTAATGAGTCGGATATACAAAGGTTTATTCGGAAAAAAACTCTGCGACTCCATTAAGAACACTTAAAAGAATACCATCCATGGAAACTCGTCCACTTACCCCTCTAATACACAAAGGTTTATTCGGAAAAAAACTCTGCGACCCCATTAAGAACATTTATAACTCGAATACGTATATATTCAATCGAAAATCATCTGCGACTCTATGAAGAACATTTAAAATTTAAAGAATATTTGCACAAGACATGACCATCCAGGGCCGAGATCCCATTTTAACTTTCAATACAGGATTGAAATTAAATAAATATAGTACAAACAATTCGGAGTATTCATAAATAGATAACGTTTACAATATCATCAAAATGTAAAACGTAATTGGTTGTGAAATACTTTAAGTTTCTGCTACTTATACTAATGCGGTTTGTTTGAGAGCGTGGATATACGTAGCTCGCTTAGGAATACATGGACAAAGTGACACGTCGACATCAACTATGATGGTGAGCGTCTACAAAACTGATAATGTATTCAATGTATTGAAGGGTTTGAGTTGTTTTCTTCATTGCGAAATACAAACTGAACTACTCCCTAGACACTTAACTTCGCTGATATCTGCTGATATTCATTATTCGCTTGGTTTAGCGAAAATCTCAGCGTGTTTCAATCTGCCGATCTTTTAATTTTTGGTTGGAATCCAATTACAATAACAATTTTCTTTCACAGTCTTCGGAATTGGTTTGTTCCAAGTGTATTTGGGATCACGGGGAATTGAAGTCCTCTTTTAGTTAATCTTTCTGCCAATCTGTTCAATCACTGCCAATCTGTTCAATCACTACCAATCTGTTCAATCACTGCCAATCTGTTCAATCTTATTCTAGATTTTATTCTTTTTCGAAATTCCATAATAGCAATTTGTATCTTAAGTTTCTACGTTACATGGGTGGTTATTGAAGATGACCAAAGCTATCGTCGACCTTTAAATAAAGTGTCAGGATAACCTCCAGAGTTGATATCGTAATGCTACCTATACCTTTGCAGATGGTATTATAATTTTGGTCAAAAGTGTGCAACGCAGTGAAGGAGACATCTCCGACCTTATCAAGTGTATATACTCTTGATCGGGATCCCCTTCTGAGTTGATATAGCATGTCCATCTGTCTGTTTGTCCTTTTTCTAGGTGAACTAGAGCTGACATCGTAATGTCCGTCTGTCCGTGTGTCCGCTTCCTAAACTTTGCTACCTATATCTTTGCAGATGGTATTATAATTTTGATCAAAAGTGTGCAACGCAGTGAAGGAGACATCTCCGAACCTTTGAAGTGTAAATATTCTTGATCAGGATCCCCTTCCGAGTTGATATGAGCATATCCGTCTGTTCGTTTGTCTTTTGTCCTTTTTCTATACTAACTAGTCTGTGTCAGAGTTGATGTCCGTCTGTCCGTGTGTCCGCTTCCTAAACTTGTCACTTATCCCTTTGCAGATGGTATTATAATTTTGGTCAAAAGTGTGCAATGTAGCGGGTTGATATAAGCATGTCCGTCTGTCCGTTTGTCCTTTTGTCCTTTTTCTAGGCGAACTAGAGCTGACATCGTAATGTCTGTCTGTCCGTGTGTCCGCTTTCTAAACTTTGCTACCTATATCTTTGCAGATGGTATTATAATTTTGGTCAAAAGTGTGCAACGCAGTGAAGGAGACATCTCTGATCCTACGAAGTGTATGTATTCTTGATCAGGATCCCTTCTGAGTTGATATGAGCATGTCCGTCTGTCCGTATGTCTTCTGTCCTTTTTCTAGGCGAACTAGTCTCTCAGTTTAAAAGCTATCGTCTTAAAACTTTGCAAACACCCTTCTTTCCTTTGCACGCAGCATATCCTTTTCTAAATCAACATGTGAATACGTCCTGTTAGCCCGTTTCTGCGCATCACAGTGTGTGTAAGCTTGAAATAATGGGCTAATTTCCCAAATAACTATTTCACGCAGAATATATGTAGGAAACGTAGGATGACCAGGGTTTAAGTAAAATGTGATCCATTGGAGAGAGATATCCTTGCTTTGCCAATTGTTATAATAATAGTTTAATTGTATGTGGCCATTTTAGAAAATGCATCGATCGAAATAAGTTTCATTAGATCGGTCGACTGTACCTGGTTGAGCAAACATCAATAGCTCGCACCAATTTATATTTATCGATACTTTTCTATCGATTAATTTCATAAGACATCAAAACAACATATTTCCTTTAATAAAATTTGCGACTTCCGTTTCATTAAATCTTTTGGAACGATAACTGTTTTTATTTGACAGGATACTTTTCCTTGATCCTTGATTAGTTATAGATCCTTTATGAATAGCATTCGAGCTTTTACGAGGACGCATTGCGTCTTCTTTGTTGTTCCTTCATCTAACAACTGTTTCGTAACGTGTACAGTCGACATTGATTTTTTTAAGCAATCATCATGTGCAGAAAATCAATTATATACTTTCCCGATATATTCTGTGCGAAACTACTACTATCAAACACTTACACACACACGCGACCGCAAAAAGCTCACACTTATAAGCACACACACGAGAGGCACGAGCAAAATCAACTTTTTTGCTTGCCTTTAACATTTCTCAGCAGCGAATTTCCCGTATTTGTTTCCCCAGTGTTCCATCATCCACTTAAAAATAAGACTATTTAAATAAATTAGTAAAATATGCAGCTACTGACGTGTTTCGTGTTTCGATGAATTTCCAAATCCGAGCCAGACTATTCAGCGAAAATCAGCTGAAAACAAGCGGCGATGCGAACACTTCTAAAGTCGACGCTGTTATGCCAGAATGGTGGCCGTTCCCAGTTTTCGCTGCGTTCACTTACCGGTGACAAAGGGGGCACACCGACATCCACAGCTGGCGGCTCACACAGATACCAATGCTGCACACGCACGTGCCACACCGACACGGACGGCGAATTGAGTTCGCCGCGACTATCGTCTTCACTGGTGGTTGTTCTTGCTTTTCCAAATAGAAGGGCTTTTCTTGTTTTTCTTGCGGATTCCGTTTCAGATTCGAGAACTCGAAAAGTTTTTGGAGAGTTTTTTTTAGTTTCCATCAGCTTTGAAGGCAATGAGAAACTGATGCTACTCCTGAACAACCGACATTGAAGTTAGCAGCAACGCTAACTGGTTAACGATGATTTTACGGTTCGAAAGTTGTGGTATTTTTGACACTTCGAGAAACGGTCACACGGAATGACTCTTCCCACCAGTTGGATCTGTCGCTATTTTGTATGTATAGCGGTGGTGATTAGAGCCAAGGAGGGGAATGGGTAGGTATATTGAGTCGCGTGTGTCTTAAATTATAGATTTTTAAATTTAACAAAACAGCTTTTATTGGAGTTGATGTACTGTAAGTACGCAATCATCGCTATGAAGAATGTTAGAGAAGGTACTACCAGAATAGGGGGGGACCAGAGCCAGGAGACCGAGGTCTCTGCTGCACTTGGTCCTCCCGCTATCTTGCAACCTCCGTCTGGCTTAGAACTAAGTACATATTTTTAAACAAAATAAAAATTCAATAATAATTACACGAAATAAAAAAAAAAAGAGATTTGTGGTAAAGCTAATTAGAGTCTACTGCTCTCGGCGCCGTTCTGTCGCGCCGGAGTCTTCTGGGACTTGTCGTATCCGTTGCCCGACATCTGCAGGTGCTGCGGCAGCTGGGCAGGACGTCCGTTGGAGGGCAGGGTCTCGTCCACGGTGAACACGGAGTTGTCGTGTCCATGCATATGGCGAGCGTTGAGCACGGCGTCCGGATGGCTCTTGGGCGTCTCCGGTTCCGGTGAACCATCGCTCTTGCCCTCGAGCAGGAAGCACGTGATGAAGAATAGGATGGAACCTGGACAAAGAGACATCAGAGAATTATGTACAAATTTCATGGAGAGTTACTGCCATCCACTTACTGATTCCATAGAAGCCGGCGTAGAAGATCATGATGGATCCCCGATAGCCGAGCACCTTGGCAACTGGATCCACCAGGATGGGCAGATTGCCACCAATGTTGTTCATCACGAAGAGGAAGACGCCGATGGTGGAGGAGCGGACACGGAGCGGGACGATCTCCACGACGATGGCAAACACAATACCGAACCACATCTCGGCAAAGAAGTAGCTCAGACCCAGGGTGATCATGGCCCACAGTGGGTCGAAGTACACGGATCCGAACGCCGGCAGAGTGGCAATCAGTTGGCTGACAGCCAAGACGAAGGCGCGTGATCGAATGCCCATCTTGGCCACAATCTTGTCGGACACAATGCCGCCGACGACCACACCCACGCTACCAATGCCGATGGTGACGCCGAACAGCCACCAGCCCAGATCCACGTCGGGGAAGTACGTGTTGTAATAGAGATCGGCGTTGTAGGCGAAGGTCATGCCGCCGCAGTGACGGATGGAGGCGGCGATCATCAGCATGATCATGGCAGGATTCTTGATCACCTGCCACAGGCTCACGGGCTTTCCGCTGGCCGTGGTGCGGTCTCCCTCTCCGATGGCCTTACGCTCCGGTTCCTTGAGAGTGGTTCCCGTCAGAGCGGCCACGATGACCGTCAGCACTCCGGCTCCCAGATAACACACCCGCCAGCCCAGGTTCCAGAAGTTCAGCTTGGTGATGTAACGACCGACGGGAAAGGCGATTCCGTAGCCTCCGTAGATGCCCCAGTTGAAGATGGCCATCACCAGAGCGCGCTTATCCTCCGGGAAGATGTCGGACATGATGCCGGTGGCCAGAGGATTGCAACCGGATTCCCCAGCAGCCATCACCATGCGCAGCAGGACCAGTTGCCAGTACTGTTTGACGGTGCCTTGCAGGATAATGGCTATTCCGAAGATGATTGTGCAGATGGTCAGCATCTTGACGCGGTTGTACTTGTCGGCGGCGAAGCCCATGAAGACGCCGGCGATGGTGAAGATCAGGATGAAGGTGGGTCCGGCCAGGATCTGGTAGTCGATGCCCAGGCCATTGTAGTTCCACTCGCAGTAGCTGGTGCCGTTGTAGTCCAATGCCTGGCAGCTGCTCTCGTTCATCACCGCCGAGCACTGGGTGGGCAGTTCCTGGCGATGGAACATCGAGGTGTTCTGCTGGCAGGCATGGTCTCCGTAGTCCAGCTCGATGGCCGTCTGCTTGGACGTGACACCGATCAGGTAGTGGCCCAACTCGCCCAGGATATAGCCGACGGTGAGTATGCCGAGGACATACGAGCTGTAGAATCCACTCAGCTTCTCCAGAACGGGTATCATCTTGCTGTTTGGTGTACTGTAACGGCGATAAGAGGTTCGTTCTCTGATTAGACCCAATATTTATATAATCGAGTACTGCAGTGTCTGGCAATTCCAACCCGACACCAAGATAAACAATACGAATTCTGGAGGAGAGCAGTGACATTCTCTCATTTCGAATTCAATCAGAAGCCGCATCGGGCCAAAAACGCAATTTGTGGAGGGAAATTATAATCAAGAGCCGCGACATAATGACAAATAATCTGCGAGCTCTCAATTAATGAGTCTCCGGCACAAGATTGAGTGTCGACTACGGGTCAGTTGGATGCATAATGCACTTGGCACTGGGCGATTGGCGGATCTGATCTGTCGTGACTGGAATTTCGAAAGGAACCCCGTCACAATGCCCATAATTCTGCCTCGGAGCGTAACGAAAGTGAAGGCAATTTCGCGTACGTGATAGTGGAGTCGGTCTCTAATGTACCTCTATACCTCTATACCAGTATCCAGCCAGACACTTATGAGTTACAGGTGGTGATACAATTAAGTTAAGATCGAAAGGGGCTATAACCCATAAAAATAAGCTCTTAAACGATCTGTGCTAATGGAAAGCTGGACTGCTACAGAGCAGTAACCTTTCCATCCACAGTTCATATCGCCCCAAGACAATTCAAGGAAAACGGAAGCTGGAAAGTAACATACTCCGAAACCCTATTCATCAGGCTGAATCAATTTGTATTTCTTGTTATGTCTTTCAGTCTCGCAGGCGTTAAATTAATTTTTTTCTATTTTTTTGCAAACCGTCATTAGGCAAAGCTGTTTAATAAGCATTGTCTGGCCTAACCCGGCACCACAAGTCTTTTTTAAACTTGACTTTTGACAGCCATCGCCCCGGCCCGCCAACATGCGTACCACAAATTCCTTTAATCAATCACCTTAATTTGCTTTTGCTGTTCTCCGGCTGCTATTCTCTCAAGACCGAGTCTTACAATTGCCGAATCCAAGGTCAGAACCTGGCCAGAATCGGCAAGAACATTAGCAGAGTCTCGGAGTCGGACTCGGACCCGCGGAGTGGGAGCCATTGGACAAGCGAACAAAGATCCCAAGAATGCGGATGTGCGAGGTGTTTTGGCCAAGAGTCTATCCATTTTAGACATTTACCATTTAAGCACTAAATGTTTGGGCTTATTGTTCGATTGAGTCCAAGTCGCAGGTCTTCCGATCTCAGATCGGTGCAATTTCAATAATAATAGCTATTAGAGCCCCGATCGGTTTTGGGCCATTGTAAGGTTCATAGCCTTGCCCATTGACATTTATTGAGGCATAAATATCAGCGGTTATGCAGATTTTGATGTAGGAAGCCGGGCATTAGCTTCGATTGTTGTCGGCTTAGCACTCGAACCTTGACATTGGGCCATTGTAGCGACTAGGAAGCTAGCCATCTAAGACTCTTCTTTATGGAGATGGATGGGAGGACTGAAGAGCCTTGGCCTTGCTGCATTACATCCGTTAGATCCAGTTTCTTTCTATTTCTAGTTCAATGTCAGAGACTTACAAGTGGGCAGGGGGCAGGGGCACCAAAACCGGCCCCAAACGTGACTGGCCGCCCCTCGGGCTGCGGGCCTCTTTCGCTTTCTTCGACAAGGCCAGCACAGTATTACGGAATCATTCAAGCATTTCAGCTATAAAGTGGCACCATTTCGGCGCGATTTGTGTCTTTCGAACAATGAAAAATATGTTAAAATATGTTTACACCAATAATTTGCATTTAATTATTGCCCAGAGCGATTATAATTGCATTCTGCTAATGGGCTAATGGTCTAATCGGCTAATGGGCTGATGGGGAAGGGGAAGGTCTAGAACCTCTCTGGCCCGTACTTTGGGAAGGGCAAGCCGCCACTCTGGGATGTGCTACGTGCTTCTTTGAGGGCAGCACGCAATGCAACATTATTTGTTTTTCCTGAGGCATTTGCAACCTAAGGTTAGAAGTTGTTAGAAAGTCAAGAGTGTGTGCTGGGCGATTACAGCATCGACTGGGCCAGAATGTTCGTGACAAGATTAGACCAAGACGCGGTCAGGCTTGGCTGCCTCGGACCGAGACAACTGGACAACTGGCATGACTAATGTGCGAATATGCAATATATATAATACGATCTGATATATGTTGCCGTGTCGGAGGGGGTTTCTACTTTATTTCGGACGTGGGCGCGACCTGTCTGGGTGGTAAAATCGTGTGCTCTCGAATGGAGTACCTTCTGAACGATCCAGTCTAGCCCCCATTTCGATTAGCCTCAAGTCTAATAAGCCGCTCAAAATGTCTATGCAAAGTACTATTAATAAGAGAGATGACAGACAGACAAATGGCCGGCACTCAAGCATGCCCAGTACATTATACAATTGTATTAGCCTGGCTTAAAATGCGGTTTACCCTCCCCCCCCAGCCTGCCCCTCTTCATGGCCCCTTGTTGTAACCGCAGTCAAGGTTAACTTGGCCAACAGTTACACAAAGAGAAACAATTACGTGCCATTAAAAATCATAATCGCAGCCATTTATAGTGTTAATTTTTAAAAATTAAAACTATTTGGTTCGAGTGCATGAAAGACTTGAAGTCGGGGGCGAACAGATGGCGCTGTTGCATCTTTGATTCTCATTTTAATAAATTGCCAATAAATCGAAATGATTATTAATTTATTAGCCAGGCCATCTGGCAACTGGCAATTGGCAACTGGCATATCTTGTAGTTTTTCTTGCCCTCAATTGGCAGACATTACGCTGGATATTTATATTGAAAATAGTTTAAAGCTCTTAGGGTTCACCACCTGTTGATGTAAATTATATTTTTGTATTTTTTTCTTAAAGCTTGTTAGCAAACGCCCCTCGGGCCTCAGTTTGATTTATTCATGGCACATACTCGAGATATATATTATACGAGGGATATACAAATGAAGCCATCAACTTGGCTGTTGAGTGTGGTCAGTTAGCATATCACATGGCTAACGTTTACCACTTCCATTATGGCCATTAAGGGGCAAAGTGTTAAGTGCCGGCACCGCCGGTCTCTTGGGAAATGCGGATGTGAACAGAGTGATTCAATCGGGAGCACTCTCCAACTGGGCTAAAGTCTGGATACATTTCTCAAAAGGTATTATATAAGCCTGAAGTCTAGACTCAAGACTAGAGACTACAGAATTTGGGAAACAAGTTATGGAACCAGAAATTCTGGGCGAGAGAGTGTCTTCTTATTCCTAAGTAGACTCTTCGAACTGATAACAAAATGCCAGCACTCTGAAGATTATTTGTAGCACTTTTAGATTTCGATTAGCTAATTAGTAACAGACTAATATTCCAAAGGAGATAAGAACCTCAATGAATATACCATGTATTAAAGATTAAAATAAAATAATTCGTTTCGGAATTCCGGACTATTGTAGAAGATTTCTTCGAAGCTTTGAGAATTCTTTTAGAAACCTATGATGTCTGAGTCTAGTTTAAATCCTTTAAGAACCCTCTGGACCATAAATCACCCTCTCAAAATAACCATTACTTGAAGCAAGCCCCTTAATTATGCTGTAGGATGTGGTCATGAATGGAAGATAAACGGCCAATGGAAGTGAATCAGTTGGGAGTTAGCGTCCGAACACCTGGAGATCGTAATGAATAACAAAATCGTCCCACCTGGCAACTGGAGAGGTGTCAACCTGCTGCGATCTGCACCGGTTGCAAATACCGTGATTTTCCCTTTTGAGAGCCGGGAGCCGGGGTATGAATATGGAAATTTAAATGTCATGATACCGATCGGCGATCGGAGATCATTGATCACAGTGATCGGTGAATCGTGGCCACGTGGATGTCTGGACTTGGCAACAAAATAAACTATATATACCTATATTTATAATAAAGGGCTGAGTATTAAAATCGTTCCGGAATTAGCATAAAGTTTATACTTTATATGGTTTATTGGGCAAACCAGGCGAATCCCCCCCAAGTGCAATTAATACAACTTTTGATTTGCCTTTTCTGAGCTCTGTTTTTTTTATATATTTTGTTCAAACTCTGAGCTGTATAACCCGAATTACGGGTAATTACGACGATCTCGGTTTGTTCGACAAATGCAAATCAGTGTTAATTCAGAATCGAATTCAGAATCGAAGCGACTACCGAGATACCTGATGGACTGGACTAGGATCTGAACTTTTAGTAAATCCAGTAATGAGTGCTTTGTTGATAATTACACTTAATTATCGGAGCCCTAGGAGTCATACAGATACGATCATAAATATTATCCATTAATCCAAGTTCGAGTGCTACAGATCTCGGTCGTAAATGGCTTTATACGACACATAATTAGAGTGGACGTGGTCCGATTCTATGGCAATTAAGTGATTCGCCAAACGAGAGTTATCAATTAAACTTAATTGTCGGCGACACCTGAGCAACCTTTCTAATTGTTATGACATTCCCTGAATGCGATCCCTCAAGAAATGATGTGATTTTTAGTCACCTTTTTAGATCTTTCATCGGGTTGTGTAATCCATAGTTCCAATAAGGTAAGAATGCCACGTTCTAGAGGTGCATTATTGTAGGAAAAGGGAATGCCGCCGTTAATCAAATCCAGAGACAGACTTATGCAATATTCAGTCGGCGCTTCATTAGCAATTTTGAACTTCTCTAGAATATGTATTTTCTATATCTGGATATTCGTGACTGATTCCAAGCGAAAGACGCCCACCTGCAAGGTTTTTTTTGTCGAGGGGCTGGTGGGAACAAATTCGTTTCGTGTTCTCTGTCCAAATTAAATGATTGCCAGAATTTGTTTAATAAATTCCTATCTAAATTGTGCTTTCAATATTTGCGATAATGCGACACCGCGTCCCAACAAATTGCCGACAACGAATACAAAAAACGAATCATTTAATTTACATTTTTTGTTTTCAATTTTGGAGTCTGTGTTTTTTTCTCAAAGAGCCGTAGGGGGGTTTCCTTCCTCCATCGATAAGATAAGTCCAAACTTCAGGGCTCATTAGGTTTTTTTTTTTTGGGGCGTGGCCAGAAAACACACAATTTGTTGACAGAAAGCAACAGAGTTGCGTCAATATTGATTCGAAAACAAACAAATACAAACTGAGAACTGAACCATTCAAAATTTAATGGTTTGAGTGTCAGTGGAGGTCTTAAAAAATGGTTTTTGGAAGCTCACTGCCTTTTATTAATGACAAGTCAGCTATTTTTGCATAGATGCCTAATCGTGCTTATATAGTATTGCATAGTACTACTCTGAATATGGGATATGTGATCAATTAAAGTGCACTTCCAACTTCCAACGAGGGCAGTTAAATCTTTTATTTGCTATATCTAATGATCTCAGTTTACGTGTAAGGCTACTTAAGAGATGATAGTTAAAATTTATTACGACATGGGGTTTATTTTTGTATTTTGTAGGGAAAGAAATATTAATCAAAGTTATAGACTCTATAATATAGAGCTTCTAGAATTTATATAATAATATTTTAAAGAACTATCCTTGAAAAAAGCTTTCTATTTATGCATTCTAAGAGAATTAGGTTTTCTATTTATACTTCTTGGCGAAATCATTTTTTTATATATACATATCTTTAAGAGATGTTGGAAAAAATCAGATTATGTATGGCATTGTATGAAGATTTTTAAGAAAAATTCAACTATAATGCTTACTAGATCAATCTTGCGTTTCAAATGGAAAAAAACCTCAAAACATTCAAGTTTCCTACAACCCTATAAAGTATTTTGCATTTTTAATAGACTGATCTCTAAAATTAGCATATATTTTGCCCAGTTTATCGCTGTTAATAAATGAATATGTGGTTTTTTCCTTGGTCGATCCCCGGAATCTGTGGAAAGTACCCCCAGAAGCCGTGATTCATCCGGCCAACTTACACGGGCTTTGCAATTCTTGGATCTTGGATCGATCGATCGAATTTAAAGCAATTTGTGTCTCTGGCACTGACACTAAAAAATTGTCGAGAATGGTAAATAATTGTAACCCCTCCTCGATAGATTTCAATTAATTGCACACAAGCACGCAGTTTGAATTTTTCAATATTCCAATATGCCAATATCGAGATATAAGTTCTTTCAATTAGACAATTCCTAGGCGATTTGGGGGGGTGAGATATACATATAGTGTGTCTGTATATATGGATACCGCGACAAGGGAAAAGTGAGAGAAAAAAAATAAATAAAAGACAACACATCACGACACTTACACTGAACAAACAGGAAAATGTAAAACCTAGTAATACAAGTGACTCTTCGGTCTTGAGAGGGTTAAACTTTTTCGTCAGTTTCTTTTTTATTTTGTATTTTTTTTTAGGAAGATACGACACTTTTTCCGTCCGGGGAAACGGAATCTTCACTCCGACTGGGCTTCCACTGGTGGACGAACACGTCCAATTGGCTGCGTTTTGCAAACAGAACTGAAACTTGGCTTCGACGATCGGGCTTTTTTAAAAAAACCGCCCAAACGCCCGCGTCTCTGTCGGCTGCGCAGTTGGCGTCGGAACAATGAGTCTGGGTCTGGGGTCTGGGGTCTGGCGCGCTGCTTGCCCCGCAGAGAGCATCAAGCAGTTGACGGCACAAGCAGAGAACAATCTCAGCTCTCTTTGTTTCTTCGGTTTTGGGCCCAAAGGCAAGGTGTTGCTCTCGTTACTAACCCTTGCCAAAAATAGTTACCTCTCCCCGATCGAACAAAGAACTGATTAAGCCGGGTTATTAATCGACACCTCTTTTTTGGGCCGAGCCTCTTGGCGGCTTTGGGCTTTGAACTGCTTGCAGGTGGTAGAGGTATCCGCGAACAAGTAGAGCAGTTACTGGCCATCTTTACCGAGGGAGGGAGGGCGTGGAGTCATCATCATGGTCGCCAGCCTTCATCCCATCCCTCCCCTTGCCCTTGCCCTTGATCCAACCGCGTTCTCTTCAAGAAACAAACAAGAAATCGGCAAAAACATAACAAAACCAGTTGGAAAGGCCAAGGGGGAAAATCCACGCATAATCGGGTCTGGCCTGGCGGTTCTCCCCCCGGCTCCGTTTCGGATCCCCACTTGATGGATCTTATGTTCTTCAGCGGACCTGAGAACATGCTGGTGATGAGTGGCGGTGCCTCCGGATGCCCGGATTGCCCCATGACCCTCAAAGAATCGGCTCTCAAGTTAAACGTCTTGCCGGCTTCACTAAAATAGGCCGTAAACTCCTAAAAAAAAGACTCTTTTTCTTTCCTTGCTTCTCCAAGGCATTGTTTTGGTTTATTAAGCCAAGAATAAGTTGCTCTTTAATAGCCATAATTTTAAATTACTAGCTTGTATTAGTCTTTTATAATTAGAACTGTTCTAGGGAGTTTTTTCATAAAAGAAATTTCTGAGTTTGGAAATTAATGCTTCCAAAATATCTTAGAAATCGCAGAATTTCAAGTTTTTAATTCAAAACTGTCAAATTATATTTTATTTTAGTTTCTTCTTGTAACAGCTGCGTTAAATTTAAACATAAAAGCGTTATAAACTTTTTAAATAAAAGACTATTAAATGGTCTAACAAATAATTATTCTTGATAGTTCAAAGATATTTTAAAGAACTCGTTTTTTTCAGGATCCAAGTTCTTGTTTAATTGTTTAATTTTAAATGAATACAGTATCTTTTAGATTATTTCTAGTAACCACAAAGGGTTAAAAGTCTCTTCGCTTTTAGGATGGATTCTTGAATTCGAAGAAACCATTAAAGCGATCTCGAGATCCAGTTCCCCCAGCCTATTCTGACGTCGGAGGTTGCAGTTATTTTTGTTTTCGCAGTTTGGGGGGATTTTTTGGATCTGCAATTGGTCACCGCCTCCTCCCCAATTCCTCGAGTCATGTGCGTGCCGTAAATCGGTGCAGTAAGATAGTAGCCACTGAGTCATGGATCTCCCGTAGCCAGTAACCCCAGTCCGCAGTCTCTGATCTGCGATCTTGGAGCCGCACAGCCCCCAGCTTCCCCAATGGAACCAGTTTCCATGGTGATTTTTTGTTTTCGCTTGTTTTTGTTTGGGCCTTGCAGGTGTTGTTTTGGTTACGGTTTTGGTAGTGGAGTCTTTTGGGTAATTTTTTTCCGATTTCTGATTCGATGCTAATTTGAGGGGGTCTTGGACAGCTCAGTGTTTGGGGTCTTGTGACGTCAGTGGGTGGAGTGGAGTGAGGTGTAGTGTAGTGGAGTGTAGTGGGTGGGTTTGATAGAGAACCTCAAGTTCGAATAGCCTTTGTTTTATTATTTGGTTCTATTTTGTTCTCTGGCCAAAATGTCTTGGTTGAACGCCCACGAGCGGAATTCAAGGCAGCGGCGTACGCGGCTTGGTGCTTGGATTTGATGGCTCCGTTTGAGTATTATTGCCAGAACACTTGGAACCGGATCATCCTTGAGTAGTAGTGACGACTGCAGCGACTGCACGGCACGTGCACTTCCCCAGAACACACATAACAGTTCCCCGACATTTGACCTCAAGAGATCCAGCGAAAATCCAGACGACACCTGCAATTAGGCATGAATCACGAATCATGAATAAATCGAATGGCCCCCGCCCGGACACACTCTAAAAATACTCAAATATATATATTATAAAAAAAAAGAAAATTAAGCCAAGAGGAGCACAAGCTCTGGTTGTCTGAAGTTTCGACAATGGTTCCTCCTCGCGACCGGTTTGTGGAACATCGGCATTTTTATGGTTAATACGGTTTATGGCCAGAACGAACCCCGTACACCGCTAATAAATGACTAACAAAAAAGGGACAATGCGATTAGTGGTCAGCTAATTTGATGGCTGATTGAGTTCGCTTAATTAAAATGCATTGCCCCCCAATGCACGAGGGGAAAAAGGTGGCCTCCACCAATGGAAGTTCCCCAGGGAACCAACAAGGACCCACACTCTGTTTAATTTAGGCCACAAATTTATGATTTAACTAAATTTATTTGATTTTAAATCCATGGGAATCCATGGAGGGAGCCGGTAAGTGAATGTTCTATTGTTCATAACCGAGTTGACTAATTTATTCGCGGCTCCGGAAAGATTCCATTTATTCAGTAGCTGATATGATTATTAATGAACTCTGATTATTCTATGGCATTTGACTTGATTACCTAGTTCGAGCTTAAAACTAAATATCCGCGAAAGTCAAGGCCAGGATCACCTGGGTTTTTGGCCAAGGTAGCCGCAAGGGCCGAAATAGCTCAGTTGGGAGAGCGTTAGACTGAAGATCTAAAGGTCCCCGGTTCAATCCCGGGTTTCGGCAATACAAATTTATTTTTATTTTATTTCAAAAAAAAATTTTAATCTTTAAATTTTAAATTTTTTATTTGAGAAATATTAGATACAATTTTTTAGTTCAATTCAAACACTTTTGTTTTTAGGAACCTTATCATTAAAAAATTAGGAAAGCTTTGTATTTTGTCAGCGTTGCCAGACTGCCAAAAATAAATGGCGCGCCTTTATACGTTTCTCAAAAAGCTTTTCTTTTTCTAAATAACACTTTCGTATAATTTTAAGGGCAACTAATGATCATTTTTGAAGATTCTGGAGCGTAAAGCAGAAAATAAATCTTAAATGTCCATCTGATCCATACTTTTTATGCTTTTTGATCTTAAAACTTTGAGTGGAATAATTCTCTATGAAACCATCCCAATAAAATTACTCCTTTTTTGAAATTTTCAACTGAAAAATGTGTACATGTCGTCTAATATATTTAGTTTTCTTATCTCTTTATGAAGAAATGTTATTCCTTTCCAATCTTCCCAATCTCTCTGAAATCTGAGTAGCATCATTCTCAGTCAAAATTCAAAGCTCAATTTGAAAATAAATTTAAAAGCAATACCCCATTTTTTTCCGTGCAGATTAAATTTGGAGCCACAGGCGCGCAGAAACCACCAGAGTGTTTTGGGCCAAAAGGTATGGTATTTTTGGATCTGAGAATGGCTGGTCACTTTAGTAAAAACGTAAACAAATATATGTATTACTGTATATAATCCTGGAATGACTTCAAGCACGTTCAGCCTCTGAAGATGGCTCCTCATTGGTTGAAACAGCACCCAAGTCGGAGGCATCCTTTGAATCTCCACGACTTTTAAAGCAAGGACGGCAAGAAGGATGTATTCATCTGAGCACAGGCTGGACAGGATGCTCAAGGCGTCTTCGCCCTTGATTTATTACTTTTACGTTTTATTTATTTTTTTAATATGCATTGTCTTCTTCTTTTTCCCTTTACTGATTAAAGAATGTGTTTTTGTTAATTTTAAATCCATTTTTATTGAAGTTTACTACATTTATTTAGTTCTTCATTAATAATTATATGTGTATGTAAGTGCTTACAACTAAGAATCCTAAGAACTAATCCTTGTGTACTGCATTTTCAAGGCTCATCTGACGGATGGCATCTGGACCATGTGTATTGCTGCGTCGATAGAAAGTCATCTTGAAATCCCGTGGCTGCATTACCATTAGGTGGCTATCCTCCTTATAGTTGGTGATATCCGCTCTGCCTTCCAGGACACGTTCCGGCAACATCCTGTTGTCATGCGTCTACAATATATATAAAGAGTTAGCAACACTAGCTTAAGCAACAATAATTTCTACTCTTACTAGGTCATCCGGAACTGTGCACACCGTGTTTAATTTTTTCGAATTTTTTCCTAGGGGTACCCCTACAAAATTGTGGGTTTTCGCAATTTCGACACTTTTTCTCCTTCCGGTGGCCACAGCTCTTCCAATTTGTATCCGATCAAGAAATAAACTACCATTTAGTAATCAGCGAACCCAGAAGCAAATTCCCTCATCCAAATTATTGCCTTAAAATCGTTTTGAAATTTTTCGAATTTTTTCCTAGGGGTACCCCTACAAAATTGTGGGTTTTCCTGATTTCCCCACTTTTGCTCCTTCCGATGGCCATAGCTCTGGCAATTCGTATCCGATCAAGAAATAAACTACCATTTAGTAATCAGCGAACCCAGAAGCAACTTCCCTCATCCAAATTATTGCCTTAATATCGTTTTGAAATTTTTTGAATTTTTTCCTAGGGGTACCCCTACAAAATTGTGGGTTTTCCTGATTTCCCCACTTTTGCTCCTTCCGATGGCCATAGCTTTGGCAATTCGTATCCGATCAAGAAATAAACTACCATTTAGTAATCAGCGAACCCAGAAGCAACTTCCCTCACCCAATTATTGCCTTAATATCGTTTTGAAATTTTTCGAATTTTTTCCTAGGGGTACCCCTACAAAATTGTGGGTTTTCCTGATTTCCCCACTTTTGCTCCTTCCGATGGCCATAGCTCTGGTAATTTGTATCCGATCAAGAAATAAACTACCATTTAGTAATCAGCGAACCCAGAAGCAACTTCCCTCATCCAAATTATTGCCTTAATATCGTTTTGAAATTTTTCGAATTTTTTC